TGGACGTCTTTTTCCACATGTCCTTCTGCGACACCATCACCTTTGCCTTTGCCTTCCCCGTCGCCTTCCCCTTCCCCGTCGCCTTTGCCTTTGCCTTTGCCTTTGCCTTTGCCTTTGCCTTTGCCTTCGGTGCGACATGAGGCGTCGCCGTCATCCTCATTGTCTGTTTGACAGGTTTGGCAGGGGCGTTCGTCTTCGCAACACCGTCGTTAGAGTCCCCTGCGGTCTTGGCGGGTAGATTGGAAGGCGGTGCCAGAGTCTCATCTTCGCTTTCGATGAACTCCTTGCTCTTGTATTCCTTCGTCGCACGCTTCTTCTTTGGCGGCTTGACGGTCGGTACTTCCTCTTCATCGCTTGACTCCTTCGCCTTCCTCTTCCCGCTCTTCTTCGTGCTCACCTTCGAGCCCTCCACCTCGGTCTGCACCATCCTCTTCTGCGCACGCTGCACTCGGCCAGAGGTGGTCGGGGCCTCGCCTTTCTCCTTTGCGACCTCGATCGGCTTCATCCGCTTCGCCTTCGGAGCTGCCTCCTCGTTCTCACTCTCCTTACTCGACTCTGTGATGACCACCTTGCACTTTCGGAGTGATGGTGCAGCTGGCGAGATCGATATTGGTCTGGCAGTTGGCGGAGGGGGCGACGCCGCATCAACCTCGATGGATTCGGGCTGGCCTGCACCCGGCACGTCTTCCGCCATCTCATCGTCGTCATTTTTGTCGGCATCGTCGTCCTCGTCACTGTCGGCATCATCGTCGTCCTCGCCCTCCTGCTCCTCTCCCTCTCCCTCTCCCTCTCCCCCATCCTCTTCCTCGCTCATTGCATGCGCCACCTTCCCCTGTGCCTTCTCCTTGCTCTTGCCCTTTCCCTTGTCCTCCCCCGCCTCCACGTGGACGATACGCTCACCCACCATGCCTGTCCCAACGTCGTTGTCAGCTCTCTCCTTGCCTTTCCCCTTGGTGATGAGGTCCCCGGTAGCCAGGTCCTCCTCGCCACGTCCCTGGGTGTCGTCATCGGCTGGCACATTGCCCCAGCCCTCCGCTGGCGTACTCTTCACCGGTGGCAGCTTGCAATATGGATCTGGTGCAGTCAGTGTGTCGCTCGACGCCTCACAATGCTTGTGACTCACCTTCAGTCCACCACTGCCTTCCCAGGTCCTCACACTCCCCATACTCGCACACAGCCAGAGGGTACCTCTTGTATATCCTCTCATCGTCGTTCGATATGTGGTCCAGCCGCGCCAGGGCCTTCTGCTGGTATGCCCGGGTGAATTCCAGCAACGCGCTGATGACGATCCCAGGCATCCTCAATGACTTCAAGGGCTGCGGGAAACTCTTTTCAAGCCGACTCTGTGTGGCATATTCGGTAAGTGCATGCCAGACCTTCGACCGATGACTTACCACTTCGAGGTAAATCCTCGTCTCCCAGTCCGGATAGCGAGGGTCGTCCTGGCGAGGCGCCGCTGCAACAATGGCCGTCAGTCGCGCGGCCTGCAGAACATAGTTGGGGTCGATATCCAGAGGCATGGCAAGCTTGGCAGAAGAAAGCGTGAGGGTGTTTCAAAAGCAGAGGTTGCAGTACAGCGGAGGCGGAGCAGACGATGCTATGAGCTGGCAGACGCGATCTGCACCAAGTTCAACTTCACACGCCATGCGACCACGTGCTTTGCACGTGATCGCTGGACTTGCGCAATTTCTCAAGTCTCTCAAGGTCAGTGTGACCTGCCGCAAGTTCTCATGGCTCCCAACAGTAAGTTCTATTGCTCTCCTTGTGGAATCTGACTCCTTTGTGATGTTATCTGACCTTTCTATGTCATATCAATCCCCTTTCTACAACTGATCTCCCGCGATCCAGGACTGATCGAAGACTTGTCTGCTCGCCACAATCTACCTGCCATGGCCAGTGACGCGGAACCTCCTGACACGCTGGACATTACGATGGGCAAGTTGGATGAGGAGGATAGTATCGCTGAGCCCCGTCGTCCACTCATTTCGGATCTCCTTGACTCTCCTGGATCTGCCCAGATCTCCTTGCCTCTCCACTCTGCTTCTCAGACACCCCTCGTGCCCCGCCACACTACCCCGTCCCTGGCGGCTCTATTTGCGCCATCCAACTCGCCACATGAGCATCTCCACCGCCACGCCTCGCCAAAGGTACAGGCGTCATCTGGATCTGTGGCGCCTGTGGAGAGAAGTCGCGCACTTATTCCTGACCCTCTGGCGCCAGCTTGGGATGAAAGTCGTGGCAGTTCGCCAATCCATAGGCGTGCACTCATCTCAGATTCCACCCCCACTGCGCCCGGTGGAATGTTCGACTTCGACACTCCTGGCATCTCGCCAATCCCTCGACGTGCCCTGTTGGAAGCTACTCCCCTTCCTCCACCAGCTCACACTTTTGACTTTTGCACTCCTGACACCTCTCAACTCCCTCGACGATCGCTCATTGCTGAGCCCCTTGACGCTACGCCATGTACATCCATCCACTTCGATAGTCAAGCAAGTACACCGATGGCGAGGGGCATGCTGGTGGACGAGACACTTGACGCGGAACCAGTGCTGAAACTGCTGGACTTTGACAATAGTCCTCCCGCCATGCCAGGATGACGGCGAGCTCTGGTGATAGACAGCCCTGGCGCGACGCCTGTGCGTAGCCAGGTCCGGTGGCTAAATAGTCCCAGCACTTCGCCTCCAAAGAGGCGGCCTTTGTTGGACGATGTTTTAAGTCCACCGCCTCCGCCATCGGCGCCCTCTCACTCGCCAGCTCGCACTTTCGATGATAGCAATTTCCGCCATGATGCACCTGTCATTCACTATATGAAAGGCAGCATCGAGCCAGTCACTGTTACTTCCAGGATGCCAAGTCTGGCAGCACTTCCAGATGAGCTGCCGATCCATCGTCCCACCCATTGGGAACAGGTTCCAGGCTTATTCCCAGATACCACACAGCTGCTGCCAATGGCAGTCCCTGGAGAGATGAATGCCACTTCTGGCTCACAAGTGGCCCGCCTTGGTAGATCGTTTGCGCAGATCGCAGCAGAGGCAGACAGTTCCAGTGAGTACATCCCTGGCAACCTTCAGTCTGATGTTGACCTTATTCATAGTGGACGATGACGAAGGTGATAGCTTTGCGGTTAGTCGTCGTCGCGCCATGTTGCGGGAGCACATTGTACGTCTTCAGCGTGAGCTCAACCTCACTGAGGATATGCACGTTGCGAACCTCAATGCCAGCTCGACCGTGTTCCAAATGGGGTACATTCTGAGGGACATTCGTGGCAAGGCGTATTGCAGGAACTGAACTAGTGTCTTTGAGCGTTCTGGTGTTAGCAATATATGACCGCTATGTAACAGCTTGTATACCAGTACAAAATGGATACATTCACTTCTGCATCACTAAGCTCTAAAGCCCATCGCTCCTCCAGTGTACTCTTCAGATGGGCGGACTGCGCTCGCCATCACCAAGGCATGTTGTTGCCAGCAATTGGCCCATCACCAAAGGACCTGAGTGAAAGCTTCACTGCATGGGAATATCGCTCCGCCAGCAAAGGGCCCACTGCCAAGGGTCAGAGGGTTGGCCATCGCCAAGCCGTGTTTTTGCCACCAATTGGCCCTCCGCCAAAGGTCAGAGGATTGGCGATCACCAGAGCACGTCATCACCACCAATGCACCCGGAAATTGCAGGGCTGTATGTGACAATGGGCCCATTGGTGGCGATGACATATCCTGGTGATCGTCAACCCACTGGCCTTTGGCGGTGGGCCGATTGCTGGCGATAACATGCTCTGGCGTTGGCCAACCCTCTGACCTTTGGCGGTGGGCCGATTGCTGGCGGAAACATGTCCTGGCAATGACCTATCCCATGGGTGCTTGCAGTAAGGCCCTCACTGAGGGTGCTTTGGCGATGGGCCGACTGCTGGCGATAACATGCTCTGGCAATCGTCAACCCTCTAACCTTTGGCGGTGGGCCCATCCTTCAGGTTACACTCTGGGCGATCGGCCCACTGCTCATTCGTCATACTCTGGCGGTGGGCCAATTGCTCAGACAAACATGCTCTGGCCATGGCCAACACTCTGACCTTTGGCGGTGGGCCCATCCTTCAGGTTACACTCTGGGCGATCGGCCCACTGCTCATTCGTCATACTCTGGCGGTGGGCCAATTGCTCAGACAAACATGCTCTGGCCATGGCCAACACTCTGACCTTTGGCGGTGGGCCCATCCTTCAGGTTACACTCTGGGCGATCGGCCCACTGCTCATTCGTCATACTCTGGCGGTGGGCCAATTGCTCAGACAAACATGCTCTGGCCATGGCCAACACTCTGACCTTTGGCGGTGGGCCCATCCGTCATCTCATTCATCATACTCTGGCGGTGGGCCGATTGCTCAGACAAACATGCTCTGGCCATGGCCAACACTCTGACCTTTGGCGGTGGGCCCATCCGTCATCTTACACTCGTGGCGATGGGCCCACTGCTCATTGATCATACTTTGGCAGTGGGCCCATCGATGGCGATAACATGCTCTGGCGTCGGCCCACCCTCTGACCTGTGGCGGTGGGCCCATTGCTTAACAGTTACAACACTGTAATATGCCCTGCTAGTGGGCCAAGCACTGGGAGAAGAACACTAGCGGTGGGCCCACTGCTAGTATCCCACACATGAAAGATATGGGCCCACTGCTGGTAGAGGTCAACATGGTGACAATGGGCCGACGTCCGCTGGCTGTCCAGTTCATGACAATGTCAGGGTAAATGGGAGTTCAGTTCAGGTAACATGACTGAAAGGTGTGGTCACCCCAGCTGCAGCTGCTTGAGCCTTCCTTGTTGCTACAGTCACTCGGCCAGTGCGACGTGGAATGACTGCACTGGAGGTACTGGGAGCAGTGCCTCCATCTTTGGCCTGTGCCCGAGTTCTCTTCTTTCCAGCAGATCTATTGTGATTAAACAATGAACATGATTAGCAAATGTGAAGACGATAAAAAACCATGCCAACAAAACCTGGCGGGTTCCTCTTACAATTGATCCTCCTCTGGAGGCTCTCTGGCCGCAACAGGAGGAGCCTGCTGATGATGTTGTCGCTGGCGAGTTTTCAGATGTTCCTGAGGTGCCGGTTCATCATCACTATTAGCTAAAAACTCTACCGGTGGAGGAGTGGGCTGGGCTCGGTGACGTTGCAGCTGAGACAAGGCCTGTTTAACTTCAGCACTATGATCAAGGAGATGGATGGATGTCCTCACCTGTGGCTGCACAGCAGTGCTATCAGCCATGGCTGCTTGAGAATCGGCAGGTGCTGATGTAGTCTTGATCAACTGTTGGGAGATCAGCCATGCAGCTTCTGCTGTTCGCACAGGACCCGACTCTACCTTTTCCCGATAGTGTCGCATGTAGTCATCAGTCAGATATTCGTTAACATCGTTAAGAGTTGCATCAGCGGAGAGCATGACCACAACATCCCTCACAGAATGTCGGATCCTTTTGCACCTATGAGGTTGGCCTTGCCCGATCCACCTACCGGCCTTATCCATTTGCTTTCGCAGCATACACACCATCCGATGCTCTACGATCACTGGCTCCTCCACGAGGCCTGTCATCGCTGAGTATGCTGAGAATTCATCTGCTGTCAGGCCGCCCTCTGCATATGCGGTCTTCGTATATGCACGAATCTGCCGTGCAAAGAGCCAACATAGTTGACGAAGCTGCAACACGAGGGTGTCATCAAGGCCAAGTGCAACTGTCTGTGGATCATTATGCTCGGCGATGAATCGCAGTACCAAGCCAATTGCCAATGTCATGAGTGAGAGCTCCAAAGCTGAGGTCAGCATCTCAAATCCCTGATATGGTCATGCCTCAATATAAGCACAGAAGGTCTCAATTCCCTTCGGCGTGCAGAAGTCGGGAGGGAGTTCACGGTGTGCGAGTTCCCATGATGCCCATGCTGGGCGAGGATATTCTTTGAGCATCAGTGTGACACACTACATCTCTGATCAGATGAATAATCTATCGGAAATCAAAATTGACTTACGGGAGTGAGTCGGCAGACTTTGACAAGAAGCCTGTACTCCTTGAAGGTAGACAGAGATAAAAGAAATTCAGATCGCTGAGTTGCCGAAGCAGGCGATCCATCTTCCGGATTATTGCTAATAACAAGCATGAGACCCGATCAGTTGGACCAAAACAGTAACCGCTCACATCAGAGGGGAATTCCATTGCAGAAAGGCTTTATAGGATGGTGCAATGCGTGGAAGACCACTAACCCAATTGCCTGCAAGCGTCCATTGCTCTCAAAGAGGATGCTTGATAGCTTGCCATACTCCAGGCTCATATTTCCACACCTTTACATATTCTTCAGGAATAGCAGCGGTGTCGTCAGCCAGCAACCGCGGAGTGAAACGTCCCGGATTATCCAACCGTGCCATTGATGGTCGCTGAACGATATGTTCGAGGTCGAGTATCCTGAAGCCTTGGAATCGGGCAGACATTGTCAGTAAAATCGCCTTCTGGCAGTCAACCCACTCTAGCTCTGCCGCATCATTTTCAGCGGGATCTGGAAGTGAAAATGCTGGCAGAGGGATCACAATTCTGCTAACATCGTGCTCATACCAGTCGGCATCAACCATCATTGACCTGGGCCACAGAATAATATCTTCCGGGTGATTGGCGATCCTCGGATAAAGTTTCCTTGCATGTGCAATTGCTGCCGGAGCACCAGCAACTCCAGATGAACTCGCGTCTCCCGTCCGAGGAACATTGACAAGATCCTGTGCAGAAAATGGCTGCCATCCCTCCTCATCATAGGCAGTATTGGCGGTGTGCGTCGACTTGGCCTTGTTCATCGCAGCCTTCGTCTTTACCCCCACTGAGTCATCCTCGCCGCTAGAAACATTATCCAAGTCGAACTCCTCCTCAGAATGTGGGGGAACATGCTTCGTCCTCATGGCAGGCTGCTTGCCTTTGCCCTTCGTGTGACAATTGACTCCGACCTCCACCTCATTATCGTTGTCGTCCTGGTCCCCTTCATCTGCCGAATCGCCAACATTCATATCAGTGACGTCTTTCTGCTTTTTTCCCCTGGGCTTCACGGCATCACCTCCACCAGCTGCTACAAGAAATTGGAAAGCAACTGAGCCAATAGCCTGTCGATTCGCCCAGTGCTTGAGGAGCAAATCGATGTTGTCAACACCGATGTTCCAAGGTTCGGCAAAGACCACGCTGTCTGGCCAACATGCCTCATCAATGTACTTGCGGACATCTTCACTGATCTTCTTCTAAGGGCACTTTGCACGCTTGGAATCAACAATCTTTCCTGCATGTATATCATCAGCATGGATACAGATTCACTTCTGAGAATGAAGCTTACGATGCTGGTGAGTCACAATGGCCCGGACCAAATGACACTTCTGAGTCAGCTTCCACGTCTCCTCAAATGCAGGAATGATGGCATTGCCATCATCATCGATCTCGTGCTGCACGTCGGTGAGTGCGATTTCATCCTCTTCTTCAGCATCATTATCCTTAAGCTCATCAGGAACTAGTCATTGATTAGTGCATGTTGCTTTGTATTCCATGGGTATGACTTACTCATAACATTCATTGCCCACATCCCCCACTTCTTCCACAAATCTTTCTGCCAGTCATCGACAGAGTTGGTGAACTTCAGAAAGTCACCAGTATCAGGTGACTGAAGCCTAGGATGGCGGTGAATAAAATAATGCAAATAATGATGGCTGAGACTTACTTGGTGCACCAAATCTGCATGGGCTTCTCTGTCGGCAAGGCCAGGAGGATGAGAACCTTTCCTCCCATCTTTGTCTCCACAGTCTGGATGAAGTCTTCACCCATCCTGCCAAGATGCTTTTGAGCATAGGCAATTTGCCCAGCTCGATCCATCTGCGACTCCTCCGTCTTCTTCGCAGCAAGCACTTTCAGTTCATCTTGCTCCTCGTCAGTCAGGTCATGCCATTTATCTACAAATGCCTTGGTATACCAGACCAATTTCTCAACTTGATCCTTCGCATCAGGATGCTCCTGGCCAACCCTTTCCAACAGCTCCTCTCGCCATGCCCAGTGCGCAGTCTTTCGCAAAGACCACTTCTGCCCCATCATCTTCTTTCGCACATCAGCTGCATCTTCCTCCACCGAGAATGGCTCTACGTCATCGTCGTCCACAGCAGCGGGATCAGCCCCACCTTCACCTTCAGTCAGATCGGGATAATCGTCATCCTTGGCCATGCGTTCAGCATCTGCGAGAGAGAACTTGCGATCTGTCGTGCCGGGAATGATTCTGAGATCCAATGCAGCCTTATTATTTCTTATTATTTGCGAACCAGTTGCTGATTTGCTATGCAGGAAGTGAGAAGATGTAGACTGAAAAAATTTACCATATCGACGTACTTGAGTGTTGACCTTGGGCCTGTCTCATCCCTTTGCATTCGCCCTTGCTGTAATCGCCTCTGAGACCTTTGTCACAACAGCTGCACGTGCACCACGCTTGCTGTCTCTCCACTTAGGGTAGTACAACACCATCATGGAGCCATAGGGCTTCAACCAACGAGCTTTGCCAGCCATGGTTGATAGTAGGGCTTTTGAAAGGATGAAAGTACTGGAATTGCTGTTGTAGCAGATGGTGGGAAGAGGCAAGATGGAAATTTGGGCAGGGCCAAGGGTTCAAAAAGTGCACACGGTGGTGCGTGATGTGATCACATGACTTAAGCGCCCGTGCATTGTCCGGCATACCAGCATGGCTTCGCCTTATTTATGCTTCATGGATACAAACTCAAGTATTACAATTTTTTCTAACTACAAAGATGGAAAACAAAAGGGACTTATAATGACTGAGGGCGGGCCCTCCCTCATTCGCCACAAGCACCAGGAAGAAGGGATAAATGAAAGAAAATAGACTACAAGGAAAGTACAAATACAATCTGAAAAACACCAAAAGGAAGTCAGAAAACGGTCGGAAAACGTTAGAAAATGCTCACCTTGCGCGCTGCATTGCTCGCGCTGCAGTGACCGTCGTCAATTTATAGTACATGTGTAAGAGGCTGTGGAAACATCAAGAGGTCAGTATTCTTCAAAATGCAAGGAAAAAAACTCACCGGTTCTTTCAATCCACTATAGGATTTGGCCTGGTCTTCACCACTGCCATAAAACCCACCATATGCTAAAGAACCCTTGTCAGTATCTGTATGACATGCTGTGGAGTACTTACCACATCTTCCTTACACTTCCTGTACTCACACCATATCATGCAAAAAGAAACAAACAAGTAAAAAAGACTGACCTTGTGGAGCAGGCCAATGGCGGCTCCACGCACGACTCGCACAGCACAAGGCTGATGGCCGGCAACAATGTAATGTGCAAAGCACATATGCACCTAGACGCAAGTACGCCGAAGCGCATTGGCACCGAAGTGCAAAATCCCCCAATTCCCATATATACCGGGTGAAAGGTGCGAGTGGGTCACCCCCGCAATGCGGAGCCCTCTGCAGCTCGCCACCGCATGCCCAGTGATCCCCCAAATCTCAAGTATCAGGTGAGGGATGCGAGTGGGTTGCCCCCACAACGCGGAGCCCTCTGCAGCTCGCTGTCGCATGCCCAGTGATCCCCCAAATCTCAAGTATCAGATGAGGGACGCGAGTGGGTCGCCCCCACAATGCGGAGCCCTCTGCAGCTCGCCGCCGCATGCCCAGTGATCCCCCAAAACCCACATGTACCCCATGACTGGCCAAAGACCAGCCATGGGATGATGTCAGTAAAGTGCATATTACATAATACTATCTACAGGAAAAGAAACAGTTACCTTACAAAGGCACGCACAAATAACTGAGCTTTGACACTGCATGCCCATGGCAACATGCAGCAACAAAGCTCAGCCACTTGTGGCCGGCTTGCTGGAAGGGGATGGTGGTGGTAGAGAAGGAAGAGAGAGAGGAAGTTGCGCCAGCTTATAAAACCAACTATTTGGCCATGTTTGTTTGGTCATGTGCCCCAGACACCAGATGCGTCAAGCACCTTCCATATGCAGAAGGTGTACACTGGTGGCTGAGATATTGCTATATTTGGACGATTTTCGGACTCCGATCAAATTTCAGCCACTGTCCACTAGATTTCAGGAAGTCCGGCCCTCCAAGCATATCACGTGATCTCCATGGGCTCGCGCGCACAAGTCCTTTTGATTGCAATCACTGTAATCTGATCTATCTCTCTCTCTTTCTCTTGCTCTATCCTTGCTGTCTGATCTCTGCTATATTTCAGTTACTGTGCCTCTCCTGCTTATTCTCAGACATCTATTTCACTGCTTTTGTATATTCTATCATGCACAGCCAGTCCGGGAAGCGCGCACAGTCTGCTCAGCCTGCCCATCAGACCTCTACCCCACAGTCTGGTGTCAGGCAATCTCCCTCCAATCTGCACTCAATCTTGGAGGATCTTGCGACCGTGGGTATATGTCAGGACCGGCATCAAGCTTTCAATCTCGATCCGGCCAATCAACCAATTGGGGGAGGCATCTCATACCGTAGATCTGTGCCACCGGCTTACTCCCCTGGCCGAACTTCGCAAAAGGACAGACCTGGTATGTTTCTATGTTTCTAATAGTGAAAATGTTTGTCAAGTAAGCAACATTTCGTTTGATATGTTGATGACAGACTCTACCGTGCGTTCGCCGATGCCTCACATGACCCCCCAAGAAGATGCTATGTCGCAATCAACTCCGAGTGTGGATGAGATGATGGATGTGGATGATTGGAAGCAGTTCCAGTCGAGGGGAAGCGGAGAGGACAGGGGGAGCCTTGCGCATAGAGGTTCATATGAAGATGCTGATGAAGCTGGTCAGTTGAAGGGGGAGATTCTGGATGACGACTCGGACCGAGGTGACATGTTCGTAGTAAATCGCGATCGCACAGGTAGCCCGCCTCTGTCCAATGACGAGTCAGAGGAGACTGATGAATTGGACAATACTGACGAGGAATTGGAGGAGACAATCCACCAGCCGCGGAGCTATACACCTGTGTCAGATGTCGAGGAGGACATCGAGGAGGAGGGCAAGGAGGAGGACAAGAATGAGGATGAGGACAATGATGAGGATGAGGACAATGGCGAGGACGAGGACGATGATGAGGACGAGGATGAACGAAGTGTTCCTGTCCAGCCCTCACCTGTCTTTCAGAGCCGCCCATCTCACGGAGTCATACGCAGGCCGAAAGGATGTGCATCTGCTGCTAAAGTGGATGCCCCTTGACGCCGAAGCAGTCGACTCTTGGCTGGTCCTGTAGTGTCTACCACTGTCACTGTTAGTGAACGTGAGTGCAGCGCACTCACCCCTGATCCAACTACTCCTCCTCCTACTCGCCCACCGAAGCGTCAACGTCACAAGGTCTTTCAGATGGCACAGAAGTCTGTGGGGTTGCCGACAGGTGAATGTGGCCCACTCGACAATGGTGCGTTGTTCAATTTTCAGCAGTGCATCTTTATTCTTATGATATTAGCCTCTGGAATGTTACAAGCCTCCGATGATCTGCATGTGGTCTCTCAGCTGCCAAGCCCGGTGTCGGTTGTTTCTAATGTCATCTCCAATTCTGACGTGGTGTGTTTTCTCTCTTCAACATATGAGTCTTGCTGACTCAATGCACCTAGTATTGCTTTCTCTGCCAACAAGGTGGAGACTTGGTCGACTGTGACCGTCCTAACTGTGGCAGAGCTGTTTGCTTGCATTGCATTCCAGATCTCCGGCAGTGGAATATAACTGAGCAGATGCGGTTTGAATGTCCGGCCTGCGCTACAAAGCATTGCGGTGGTGCGATGCAGGTATACCATGTAGGTTATATGCATTCTTTACTCCCACAGAAGCTGATGTCTGAGGGTTATCAGGGCCTATATAGTGTCCAATCTGCAGAAAAACCTTGGGTACCATTGATGAAAGGTCTTCGGATTCTCGGCAAGCCTGAGATATCACAGATCGCAAGGTTGGATACCTCATCTTTGGTTTTGGTTCATCTGCGCCTGCGCTCACTGCCTGAGTATGGTACCATCGCCAATCTTGTGGAGGAGTATCTTCAAGCCTATTACATTGACCGCAGAGAGTTCCTAAATCGGCTGGATGTTGTCTTTGACTTGGAAAGCTCAGAGGCCACAGAAGGTCATTATCTTCATATGCTCGACATAGTGTCGAAAATTCGATCGTATGTCATCTGTCTTTCACATTGACTCAGAGCTGATCCTGACCTTCTCCTGTGTCACTAGCTACAAGCCTACCCGCATGCTAATTCTTATTTATACACACTCGCACGACGACACCGGTGACTTGTTTTACAGCAGCCACTGGGTAGGCACAATTGATACTGTAAGTCTCTCATGACCGATGAGACCTTGCGTTCACTGATTCGTCACAGTTCTTCAAAATTGTTGTCTGTGAAGACCTGATGGCGCTCTCCCGAGAGGTGCCGACAACATTTGCGCTGCTGGCTTGTGGTTCCGTGGTGTCAAAGGCAGCTCCTGGGGAAGACTTGGTCACAGTTTGTACATGGTACGGTCTTCCCATTACTCTCCACTTGATATTAGCATTCTTACACATGCACGATTTAGCTACAAGCTCCCCCGGGTTTTGGCATTCACAGCACCGGCGCTGTCTTCTATCAGTGCGGCCCCCTTCTTTTTTGGATTTGTGCGCAGTGTGTTTATTGAAGGAGCCACTGTCGGTGACCTGCTGATGAGCAAACTTCTCGCCAGTTCCGGCCCATTGGGCAGGCACTCCAGGGTCATTCTCTTGGAAGGAACCACTCAGGATCGTGTCATCAGCCGTGGTGATGCAACGACTGGTGATTTGGATAAGGCCAGGCATAAGCGAGCACGGGCAGAGTCCTACAAGCTGACCATCTCAGAGTACATCTGGGATCATCCCAGGATCAGCCCCTATGGCAATCGGGTTCCAATGCAGTGCGACACTTGTCTTCGCTTAGGCACTTTCGTCTTCTTCGATCGTAAGGGCACTTCTCCCCAGACTCATTGCTATTGCTGCAAGCATTGCCATGCTGAGTGGAGCTTTGAGCCTCCGCAGGATGGCAGGCTTCTGAAGGAGTTCAACCAAGGCGCCTGGGTGAAGGTCATTCAGCAGTAGTTTAGGACATATCATACCGTGTCTTTGTTACCCACTCCTTTCCCTTTGTACGATATCAGTTGTTGTCATATGCTTTCGATTTCTTGCCCACCACTTGCCCTTTGTACGATATCAGTTGTTGTCATATGCTTTCTGTTTCTTGCCCATCGCTTACCCTTTGTACAATATGTGTGGTCATTGTATGCTTTCTTTTTTTCTCTAAATGTGTTGTCTTTGTACAGTATCAATTTTTGTGGTTTGCTTTTGATATGAATTTTGCGGTCTGCATTCAATATGTCTGTAGTGATACGATATGAAAACTACATGGATGAGTTGGTCAATGTTTTCTCTCATTTTGGTGGAGAGACTCTGACATAAAGAAACCTTGGAGAATGCGCTGCAGTCATGAGGTCACATGACTGTGGGAAACTCGCGATCATGTGACAACTTTGCATGATGTGCTGGCACTGTGCAATTTTTTACAATCCTATTTTCATTGTCTGATGGCTTTTCAAGGCGAAAGATTTCGACATAGTCTTCCTCAATCACATAAACGTTGTTGGCATGCACAGGAGCATAGATTGTCAGATGAAAAAGGTCATAAAACAGCTGAGATGACGAAGGGGTATTTTAGTCTGACAGGCTTACCTCCTTTTCTTTACTGACGTGAATTCTGTGTGCAGTGCACTGACACTTGATGAATTTCTGTGGAAGAGGTTATCGGAGTTGCTGAGGGAGGCTACTGGTTTTTATAATACTCATAGGCACACTGCTCCAGTCGCTGACATTGAACGCGAGAGAATAAGGTCTGTTTGATTCCATGATCTACATTTGTGTTGCTTATGATCATGCAGAACACACCTCCAGCAGCAGGCATTGAAGGAAAAATCCCTTATGGCTCAACATGTGAATTTCACATCGGCACCCCATGCCGTGGAGCTGGACCATATTGTCACTGTTGTTGCCTGTGTGCTTCTGAATCTCAGTTTGTCATTTTTGCTTGTTTCAATCGGATGCATATTGATTTGCTGTGTTACTAAGTTCATGTCGATTGTTATGTGATGGACAAGGGAGTGCTAAAGAAGAATGGCAAGCAGGACTGTCAAGGACCAATGCTAGTCATCTTAGAGCCTGCAGTTATTCTGGACACGAACAATAAGGTTCTTACATGGTATCTGCCAGGTATCTTGGGACAAGCACGTATAGTAAGTCTTCCCTCTAACTGCTGTAACTTGCTAATATAAGCCCTAGAATGACTACAACGACGCGACTTGTGGAATAAACCAGTTACTTCAGAGAACGGTTTCACAAGGTGGAAACTTTCGGACAGATGCAGATCTGTTCATTGCAGCCCCCGATGGACGGTTCAACCCAGGCTCTCTGGACATCTCTGCTGGATGGTTTGCACGAGGACATAATGTGAGTTTGGACATCAATGCCACATTTATATGATCTGAGAAGAGCATGCATGCTTCAGACAAATCTCGTTCCATCTGTCTCATTACGAAACGAACCGGTCAGTAATTGGCTAGAGAGGACCTCATTTGTTGAGCAGTTGCTGAACGCAACTTTATGCCTGATAAACTGGCCACTCTATTTTGCAGGCATCTCTAGCAAGTTGAAGATTCAGCATGAGAATGTTCTACAGCGGACGCATGAGAATGTTCAACAGTGGCCTTCAAATTTCACAGCAATGGGGATTATTGTGAATCGACAGACAATTCCTCATCGGGATGGCAAAGCCTGGCATGCATGTCTTGATTTATTGGCCAGTGTGGGTACTCATAAATGGGCAGTGCTTCAATTGGATGATCTGCAAATGGAGCTGGGTTACTGCCCTGGAACATTGGTAGGAATCTGGGGAAGAGTTTTAGAACATAGCTGTGATGCATGGGAGGGAGGTGAGAGGATATGCATAGCACACTATATGCGCTCGGCAGTATTTGAGGCGTTAAAGATCAACAAAACCTCATGGGTAGAATATGGGACATATCTCGCACTGATGATTCCCCAGTATGTAGTGCATCAGGGGTTCTAGCAGATACTTCACAATTAGTTTAATTGATGGATGTAATCTGGCTCTTAAATTGAATTCAGTGGCACTGAATCATTTGATATGAAGGATATTGGTCTCAGAATGTGACAGCAAAGGACTGCCCAACTCCTACACAAACCCTGAAGGTGGTCTGACCTGGCTCATTACAGCCGATGGCATCACATGTGACGAAACCTGTATATATACACTGGGTGAAGGCCTCAGCTTTAAAACTCCTACGTGTGAAGGGAATTTTGCCCTTTCTGATTAAAACAAATAGAGGATGCTACTCGGCTGAAGCCAAAGTGTGGAGAATCCTATATAGGATACAAATTTCAAGAGTCTCGGCCGAGACCATTATTTTCAATAACCCTATATAGGACATCCTCGGCCAATGCCATAGTTCAGAAGACCCTATATAGAATAGAAATTCGACTACCTTCGGCCAAGGCCAACATTTGTGCAAGAACTATATAGTGTATATTCAGCCAAGGCCAAAATTCAGATATCTCTATATAGGTTGAAATTTGATGACTCTCGGCCGAGGCCACCATTTCCACAAGAACTATATAGGATATCTTCAGCCGAGGCCAAATTTCAGACAATCCTATATAGAATGCAAATTTCTCGACCCTTGGCCGCAGGCACTATTTCCACAAAAATCTATATAGGGTACCCTTGGCCATGGCCAAATTTCAGGAGATGCTATATAGGATCGAAATTTCATGTGCCTTGGCCAAGTGGACCATTTACACAAAGATTCTATATAGGTCCACTTGGCCAAGCCCAACTGTCTGCAAACTCTATATAGGATTGGAATTTTATGACTCTTGGCCAATGGCACTATTTCAGCTACAATCTATATAGAGACATGGTGGCCGACCCCAAAATGCCCGACAACCTATATAGACTTCAAACCACGCCTCCCTTGGCTAACTCCCAAATATGCGACTCAGCCTATATAGCCTATTTATCTTGGCCAACCCTATATCTCCATCCTATATTATATTCTTGGCCAACGCTCAGTTTTATGGAAATTTACACAAAATATTCCACCTCGGTTATATGGACATTTGTGTATATATTGGCTGATAGGTGTGGCACCCGGTTGTAAATAGTTGTGAATTTCACTGTGCCTGGTTGTAGCTGCTGTCATTTTCACTGTACCTGGCTGTAAATAATTGTGGCTCAGGATGTACCACATTGTAATTTCCTACAGACTTCCCCTCGCAAAACTGCCTTGCCATGAAGCTGTTCTAGCCGTGAAGCTGTTCTAGCCGTGAAGCTGTTCTGGCCGTGAAGCTGTTCTGGCCATGAAGCCGTTCTGGCACACCTTCCATTTTAGGACATTGTTCTTACTCACCTTCCACATTCGGAACAATCGGCCTGACATAAATGCACGATAAGTTTCACCACAACAAGACATACTGTGTGCACATTCAACGCTAGTAGGTAAATCATGAAGGACTAGTCTACCTCAGAGTCGCTGTCAGTATCAGAAGCCTCATTGACCTCAACCTCCTCAGCAACGACTTTCGTGGCATAGAATTTGGCCCACTTCGGAGAGATACCCTGGCTATGCACGAAGGGTAACCACATGCGCGCAAAATGAGCCGCAAGATGCTCCGAGATGATAGCTTGCTTTTTAGCATAAGCCTGGAGGCCACTGATGATAGCAGCAGAGACATTACCACGACATCTCACTTGAGACCACCACCATGGTGACTTGAACCATAAGAACGATATGACATGCCGCATTTCTTCCAGAATCAACTGTTCCTCCTCCTTCCACCATTCTGCACGGGCCTGTGTCTGAGCCCATTTCAAGTGCATGCTTTCAGAGAACTCCTGAGAATTGGGTGTGGTCTTGTCCATCACTTGGCCATCTGCGTGAGCAACAAGCCATATCCATGAGAGTTCATACCTTCCCTCGCTAGGTGCGTCCCTGTCATCGCAGCCAGGCCCCGAGATGTTGGAGTCTCGCAAAACCCGGTATCGTGCAGTCCAGTCACCGGTAGGGTCAACTGCAGACAAAGCATCACGAGCGGCACGATACTGCAAGGCCGCCCGAGTGATCTTAAGTGAGAACTTGTTATACAGCATGCGGATCCTCGTTGCAGCCTTCTGTCCATCTCCCGAAATGTTGAGCCTCCGGAATTGAATGACACTGGTGAGCACCCGTCAAAGCTGATGGATTTCAGCAAGTGCATCATCTGCCTGAGCAAGGTGCAAGAGCTTCTCCTTTGCTAACAAGTCCTGCATGTGGAGCGAGTTGCGTAAAGCATCAGGAAGGGCAGACAGGAGCCAGAGTGTAAGATTAGCAGTTGAAGTGAGACACAGTGTGTCACCATCAGTGGGGGCATCTCCAATGCTCGGTGCAGGTATGGGACCGCTTGACATAGGGGAGCGCAGCTGAGACACGACGGGCATGTAAAGGTCCTGGATTGTGCACCACTGCTTCACGCAATGGGCGAGAACATTGCGCTTCTCTTGCGAAGTGGCGCGCTGGCGGTCGGTGTGTTCTGTGGTTAGCAGATCCAGAACACGCCTATGGCAACAGTCAGTGATTAAGTACAAGCATATACACAAGATACTCACTGTTGTTCCTCCAGCTCAAGTTCAATGTGCACCAGTCCAAGTGCCCAAATTATAATACCCTACAGTAATTACTGCCAAGCTCAATACAATGTGACCAGTGATACCCGTACCAAGAGACATTATAATGTCCTGCTAAGTCTCCGTAGCTATCATGATGTGCCTTGAAAAAACATACGACAGGCTCTGACATGCAGAATAAAAAACAGAAAGCCTGTTTTGGCATTAAATGCGATCTAAAACATATGGAAAATACAAAAAACAAAACATACAGAATTTTACACTTCGGCTACTTCCCAATGGACAGCTCAATTGCCAAATTTGGCAAAACATATCCTATTCATTTTCGAGCAATAGCATACGGATTCCGCATGGTGCAGCATGAAACACTCGATTTCTGGGTGCACATCATGGGAGCTAACATAATGGGCCCACAGGGCCACTACACAGAGACTCTAATATCAAGCAGCATGGCAAAAGCAAAAAAAAAGCGCAGATAACTAATGAACACGCGAAAAGCGAAGTGAAAAGGGTAAAAACGAGGAAAGCAAGACAAAGTGGCGACAACGATGACGAGCAAGAGTAACTGCATTGTGGAGAGGGTGACGAAAGCAAGGGCATGGAAGAAAGCACAATGAATGTAAACAAAATGGCGATATGCAGCTAGATATGCCAGACACAGATCCTCGACGACACAACGGGGGTGCAAACAAGAGGTCGACAATGCAGGGGAAGTAGCGAGCAGATCAAGCCCGCGACTTCCTCTTCTTGGTGATAGAGCTGGAGTTCTGAGTCTCAGCCTTCTTGTACGATGTTTCAGTACACATACACATGATGAGTCAGCACAATCCATACCTTTTCAACAACACAGATGAGCCCTTCCATGCGGACAGCGTCGACATTGTGCCGCAGAGAGACAGACTCTCTCGGGAGGTGGTAGAGCCATCAGGGTTGGATGAAGAAGAGCCGCTCAGCGATGACAAGATCTGGTCGAGTGTCCAAGCCACATCAGCGACAGCAGCACACCAGTTGTTTTCCTGATCTGCAGAAGCCTTTCCAACAACCACCATGCCCCACCACGCCAGGCAGACAACCACTAGGAGAAGGCCGTTGGGGCCCGTGATGCAGAGCGAATCCCAAACGACAGCACTCCAATCCTGCTGTGGCTTCCCGTCATCGCCAACTGCCCGAGTAGAGGGCTGAAGAGATGTCCACCAACCCCACCACCCCCTTGCAAATGCAATGGGGTCATCAATCTCCATGTCCCTCGCCGGCTGCGCTATCTTTATCCAGCTAGCCACCTCGGCCGGACGCGCCTTATTTCCTCCCAACCTCTTCACCGTAGCAGGCGCCTCCTTCTCGAGGAGCACTAGGCTCGTCAGCATCCGCGACCACTCGCTGCCCCAACCTCGTTCACGAATGAAGTTCTCGTAAAGCTTCTTCTCACGGTCCGAGAAGCACGTAAGGTTGAGGACCGGGATCGTTGCTACAAGGTCACTGTCCCTCACAGTTGAGGTAGAGCTGGGAATGGCGGGAGCGATGGGAGACGGAGCGATGGGAGATGAAGACAAATTGATATCAGACCTGGAGTTCGAACTAGGTAAGGCGGACTGGCTCGAGAGAGGTGTGGCACTGGGTAGAAATGGCTGCATGGAGGTCTCCGTCACACTAGCAGAGGTCAGATCAATCACAGAAGGGCATGTGCTGCCAGTAACAGGTTGGGAGGATGTAGAGGTCTCCGCTGTAGTGATGGAAGTCGGAGCGGACAAAGAGGGGAGTGCGTCGCTAGCCACGGGTTGGGGTGGCACGACAGCAGCAGAAGGAGACGACGTTGCAGGGGACGAAAATACATCGTCCGACCTCCCAACGGTGAGCAACTGGAAATCAGTTGGTGGCACCATGACCCTGTTGACAACAGGCGGCAAAATGAACAGACCTCCGGCATGCACTGTCTCATGCATGTGTCCATCCTCCCGTACCAGCGTGGGGATTGACGTCAATGTTGGTTGCGAGGGTGTCGAGGATGAGGCGGTGGCATTGCTGGACACGTCGACTGATTCCGCCTGAGCAAAAGGAACTGGAAGGGATACCGAAGCTGAAGAAGTTGCAACGATGGCCCTGGATGGGTTAACGACTGCGGACACAGTGGACGATACACGTACAGGTGAGGACGAACCAACACAAGAGGACGAAGAGGCTTGACCAGAAGGACCGGGCTCCGCCCTGGCCTGAGCAGAGGTTTCGACTTGAGGGGCGGGACTGCCATCCGCCATAGCAACACCAGCAGTGCCTGGCGCAGTGCTGCTGCTCGCCATGCACAACACTCGCTTGTCGCATTCGGGTTGAACATAGCACGGAGGTCAGAGAAGGCGTCGAGAGTGGAGGATATTGGGGGAACATACAATACAGGTGCTTGGCAAAGCGAACCATCGAGGCCTCCGCGTCGGTGTAGCCAATGGGATCAAACTCCGGCCAGCAGAGGTTCACGAGACCTGGGGTCTGGCCCACGTGAGCGCTGTGTAAGCAACAGTGATTAGCCAGCGATCAACGTGTGCGTAAAAATAGGCAGCTTACCTGTGCACCTCGATAGCGCCGTTGAGGTCTGCAATGGGTCCTGCAAGCAGAATAGAGACGGCCATACCGAATTTGTCAGACAGGTAGTCTGCAAGAGGCTTCAGCCAATACATGGCGCTGGTAAGCTCGCTGGAAACATACACATTAGAGCAGCAGGGAAGCGGAGAAAATTGACGTACTGATGATAGTGTTCGGCTTGCTCTGGGCCATCAGCCAATGGCTTCTCACAGAGATGCTTCCAATTCTCCACCCCCTTGGCGTGGTCGTCGGCAATGCTCTTCTCGAAGGCGGTCTAAAACTCCAGGGCTCTGCGGCGTACTTCGCCTTCATGATGGCGGTGCGAACTACGATGTCTTTGGGCATAGGCAGCTGTGGTTCCCACCATTGTATTACAATTGCCCACAACACTGGGCAGGCCATTGTGCACAACTCACCAGCCATTGTAATTGTAATAACACTGAGCACATTGTAATTGGAAAAAGAAGTGTTTACAGTGAGAGTTGAACCCCTGACCTCATGGCCGGAATTTTGCTTATATAAGCTACACAAAACACATGCTTTAACCACTACACTATTGGTGCTTGCTATTACTTCAACCTCAATTGTATATAATGAGTCTGTCCACTACAATATAATATACAAGCTTCTATTACAAATACTAACACTTGTTACTGTTCCTTTCTTAACTCTTTGTTAAATACTATTATAGTGTCTATTTATGTTCTCTTACTTGTTTATCTCTTTTTCTAATTCTTTAAAGTAATAGTATTAGATATAATATTAAAATGTGCATTAGAAGCTTGTATATTATATTGTAGTGGACAGACTCATTATATACAATTGAGGTTAAAGTAATAGCAAGCACCAATAGTGTAGTGGTTAAAGCATGTGTCTTGTGTAGCTTATATAAGCAAAATTCCGGCCATGAGGTCAGGGGTGTAAACACTTCTTTTTCCAATTACAATGTGGCCGGCATTGTAATTGCCATTGTATTACAATGTGCCCAGTGTTATTACAATTACAATGGCTGGTGAGTTGTGCACAATGGCCTGCCCAGTGTTGTGGGCAATTGTAATACAATGGTGGCCACCACTGGTGGCATGGGGCCACCGTTCGCAATGGCCTCGTCAGTTAGCCTCTTCATTTCGAGGTTGTAAGCATCTTGTATGCGCTCGCGATAATATTCGTGAGAGTAGACGTGAAGAATCTGCAGCTTGTGCGGCATGCCGGGCGCTAGGTCCGTAAACGCTTGCATGATCTTCGCGCAAGTGCCAGTGAGCTCGGCCTTCTTGTCGGAGTCAGATGTGACAATCTTCTTGCAGTGGTGGTGATACCACTGGCCCATACTCTGCATTGATCGCAAAGTGAGCTGTTAAACACACGAGTTATGAAAAAATGAGTACGCACCAAACGCAACTTCTGGAATACCTCCCGGCGACACGCTACCTCAGCGTCTTTGAGCTTGGAGAAGTCCATCAGAGCTGCAATTTCCTCGGGAGAAGGATCTTCGAGGCCATTGGGATCATCCGCCACAAGAGCGTCGTTGTCGGTAAGCGAGAAATCCCAGCCATGCTTGGCGAGTAGGTACTTGGCGACCTTCGTGTAAAAATCGCCTGTCTTCTTCACGGAGTTGCAGGCCTCCCACTCAGTACATTTGGAATAGAGATACTGGAGGAGGGTGCCACCAAACTTGCCTTTAGGACCGGGCTTCTTTCTCTTCTTGCCAGCATATGTCTTTGTGACCTTGGGATGTGTCGCCATCAGAGATAGACTTTAGAGTAGGAGCTATGTAGCACGGACTTAAGGTGAGGACGAGAGATAATACCAAATGGGGAAAGGAAGAGAAGCGATGATCCTCGTGATGACCAGTTTGACGCTCCGACCCAAATCATTCCGAGTGTCTTAGCCAACAGCCTCATATAAACCCCCACCCCACGCCTTTCACTCCTTGCCCCCGACCTCCATGGTCACTGCCTGCAATGACGAGTATAACTCCTACCTCTCTCCTCTGTCCTCAGGACATTTCTTCCATTGACCGCGCCGCTGCAGACGCCCTCACCAGGCTATCCATCACCTCTACGCCGTCTCCATCTCCTCACTTCCACAGCCTTCGCTCTTCATCGTCGCAGGAGGCCCCAAAGACCACTACGTCTGTGCTGATAGCAGACGCTGGTAAAGTTTTTTTTTTGATCCTGTCTTGATCACACTCACATTGCAATATGCGCAGGGGCTATGCCCGGGCCTTTGTGTGAAGGCCCGTTGGGGATGCCAATTCAGGTGAAGGGCGAGACGTTGTATCATGTGGAGCAAGTGAGGGAGACGGGCATGACAGACCACTGGTACGTTAAGTATCGTTTATAACACAATTTACTCACACTTTCTCTACAGGTACAAGGCTGCCGCTGCGACGCAGTTCTACCAAAACGCGAAGTTACATTCCTTCCATCCTCTACTGTCCACCCCGTTGAAGTTGAGGTGCACCAGGAAAGCTGAGAAGAAGGCTGTGCAGCGCCGTGGGGAGAAGACATACGTCATGTTCAGGGGTCTTGCTCCGGGGCCCGGTGTATATGAGACTTGGTACGTACTTACATTGTTCAGTACCTATGGGTATATAGTGACACGAACAGGGATGAGGTGAAAGCTATGTGCATCGGAGTCAGCGGATCCCTCTACCAGCAGGCCCTCAGTGAGCAACAAGCCAATGAGTTTCTTACTGATGCTCACACTGTCCATAATTTAGTAGTGTTGTTGCCGCCATCTGCGCAGCTCAAGCAGATCCCATACGACTGTACTAACATACAGCTTCTATTGTCGGTCGCCCGTACAATTGGTGGTGCATCCGTTGTGTTAAAAAGCCCCGTAGTCATGTTGGGAGGAAACTCCTCGAGTCTGGCATCAGGGTTGCCAAGTCCTACCGTGCCACCATTGTGCACGCTGTCGCGTTCGGTGCTGCAGTCCCCAGGTGGCCGTAGTGCGAAGTGTCAGTTGGCATCAGTTAATACGCATCAGGCACAGTCTCCAACGGGAAGCACGTCATCATCGTTGGTGGAATTTGCTAGTGACGGCGCATGTGCCATCTCGTCTCATGACTGTGAAGTTACCTGTGCGTGTGACCATAAGTGGTTCGCAGTATTTTATGGGCGTGCTCCTGGTGTATTCAGTTCTGAGTAGGTATTTTTTTTTTTTTGCTGCGGTTCTCACAGCCACACAGGTCTGTTGCGAAACAATTGGCGGAGTTTGTCTTTGCACACTCTCGCGGCCATGTTGTCACTCTCATGTGAGAGAGGGCCCTTCTTCGAATAGTACATCGTGCGGGGCTTGTACGGGCTATGTTGCATTGCATCTCTCGTCGTTAGTGTATGTTGTGTATGGTCGCACTCCCTGCTGTCGCCGTTGCTCACCGTTGCTGTCGATGTATCTGTCGTAGATTTGTGCATGAGAATATTGCAATGCACATTTTTTTGTCCTTATTTTTTGAACGTTTGAATCTTTACAGTGAAAGAATCGTGCTTTGTTGGTTAGTATGTTCCATTACTGATCGAACATCCTTGGCGGCGACGTGTTGGGCGTAGAAGTGCGTTCACCTTGCGATTTTTTGGTTGTAGGGAGAGGAATTGTATTTTATAATGTATCTACCATACAAAATATAGTAGACAATACAAACGTATTACATCACATCAAAAACTGCAGTGAGAAGCGTCGAGATGCTGCAGAAACTGAGAGGAAGTTGAGTGAGTGTCTGAAGTAGCCTGAGGGAACTTGACACGTCAAGCGATGCGTCGAGTGTGCCACAGCCAAGGCTCTATCTTGACTCTCGCGTCGACCATCGTTCTCGCCACCCAAGTCGCGCTCTGTTTTCTATTTTCATGTAAGTGTGTTTCATTACATGCTTTTTTGTTTATTCTTCATGTCCGTTAAGCCTGCTACTCCCGAGGAGACGTGTATGCTGGGTCAACACTTGGCCCTATGGCACTGACACTTGGGTCGTCCGTTGCGGCGGCTGCTCCTCCACTTTTTTTCTTTCTTAGTTTCGCAGTGTTATATAGTGTTATGTGCACTGACCTGCTTTTTTTCCAGCCCCCACTCCTCTATTTGAATGTGATATGCGCAAGGTAGGTCTTTTTCAACACAACATGGCAGGGTGGCTGAATTCTCGAACAGACCCGCTCAGGGCGTTTCTTCTCACCCTATGCCACAATCGTCTCTACACCTCTCTCTCTGAAGCTGCTCATGCAAAAGGCGGTTGGTGTTGAATTGCTGCGGGAGGTCGTAGGTCAGAACCGTTCACCTCACCCGGTGTCGCCTCTCACGTCACCACCATTGTCGCCTCTCTCACCACTGCCGTTGTCGCCTTCATCTATCTTTTCCTCCCCACTGTCTTCGTGCTCATCAGGAAGGACAACGCCAGTGCATGAAGGTGAGATGCTCCCACCTCCGATCCTCAAACCTGCGAGAACTTCGCAACCTGTGCTTCCCTCGCTGTGGACTTCCCCTGCGTCAGTTTCTTTTCCACCTGCCACACGAAATACCGGTGGGATGCATGCAAAAAATGGGAAGAGGAAATGCAGGCAGGCTAAACGCCTGCAACTTAAGGCATCGCAAACTTTCACGTACAAGGTGCGCTCTTCAACAGCTTTGCAGCTGTGCGAGTTACGTGCTGTGGTGTCCAGGCTGCGTAGAGCCACCCTCCCGATCTGCAGTGGTGGCTTTGTTGGGAAGGTTGTGGGGTGGTTGAAAGAAAGGAAGCTGTGGGAGATGGACGAGTTGCTGAGATGGGGGTTTCGTGTGCATGCATGGGATGGCAGGTGCATCGTGCTGTTGTCACGCCCTTTCAGATCACTGACATCCTGCTCGATACGTCAGGACACCCCATGCTCTTCTAGATGCTGATAGGTGAATCATCGCCATTCTTGCAGGGCAGCCCGATGATGCAACATGGGGAGAGGCTGTATCAAATGCGAGCGCCACGTTAGCGTCTGTGGGGAAGATGTGCACTTTCTTGCACCTCCAGAGGAGTCATAGAAGGGGCCGGTTCCTGACACTCGCTACCGGCATCTCCCACAGAGGAGGCCAGCATGAACCCCAAGACATATACAACACAGCTGCAAACCAGATGAAGCTGACAGAGCTCTGTCGCAATCGTGGAATCCAGCGAATCACTGGCTTTGGAAATGGTAGGACTGTTACAACGCTCCTCACTTGTGGCATGTCTTTTCTTTTTCTTTTTCTTTTCCTTGTTCCCTTTACGTTACCAGACCACGTGATCCAACACGTGACTCATCGGAGCGCAACCTCCGATTCTTTATTCAGATGTCCAGGACCCCTAGTCTAGGGTTACACCGGATCCAACTCCGGACCTTCTTCTTATCGCACATGCAAGACATGCATGTATGCCTCATCTTTACCTCGTTCTGATACACGACTCGTTATCCCTATTAGTACTGATTGTCTCTCACGACCTTACTCAGCTTTCTCATACATATTACTTCCTCGCTGTTACCCTGCTCAGATATCGTTTCACCTTATCTAGCCAATGAACGATCCCGCATTACTGCGTAGTACTGTGGATACCTTTTGTATAAGTAGACGACCTTGTCAAGCTGGATCCCCATCTCGACCTGGTTACCATTAAACCAGCTTTTCACTTGCCTTTGACTAAGATCAACCGTTGGTAGCAGACAGCTACTGCGAGTCATAAGAACGAATTCTGATTGACCTTCAGTGCGAGGACATCGCCAGAAGTGTCTCTTGAACGGACTCGTGTCTTAGACTAAGACCTTGTCTCATGACGACTCGACTTGACGCTCGTGTTTCGCTGCCGCGTAACATTAGGTCAAGATCTTATTACTCTCTGTGACTTCCTAGAGTCTAACAATGAACTACCGACCGGACCAAACCTTGAAGACTAAACGATACACCCGATTCGATTGCTAAAGCGCCGTTTGAGATTACTCTGTAATCAAGGCAGCTGAAGGGATAGACTGATCACTCATCTTCGGAGAGGGGTCTGTCCGAGAGACCAATAGGCCGAGGAGGCTGAGGTAATCACTCGAGCAATCAGCAAATAGGTGGATCAGTTTGAAGACAGAAGACACTCTATGGGCTTGTTAGCCGACGACGAACGAACCCACTTAGTTAAGGATGGTGTGCAGTCTACATGTAGACGTAGGTCACACAGGAGAATTTATCCATGCTGGATTTGAACTTTATCAACCCGACTGCTCTTCCCAAGCAATACATCGATCTCCTCCCATCTCAGGCAGAGTGGGATGCACAGAGGAACGTACACATTTTAAACGGGCGACCTTTACTTATCAGACCAGATCAACACATTGATCACCCAAGTGGTGACTACGAAGCAGGCCTACCCCATAACATTGGAGGGCTCATACTATCACACATTGCAGACAGCGGCATACCTATCTCTTATCCAGGAGAAAGACCAGACGCCCCTTGGAACCTCCCTGTCCAGGATCCCGTACCACAACCGATTCTTGCACCAATCATATCCGATTACATACCACCGATGGCTACAGTTACCATGGATGGAGGACATCACCATGTCAGCCAGAAGGAACTTGGTTTTAGAAAACCCGAGATCTTCAACGGTTCAGACCGTTCGAAGCTTAGGGAATTTATAAACCAATGCAAGAATTACATGGCCGGAAATAGCCATGTCTACCAGGAGGACAATCAGAAGATCGCATTCGTGTTATCGCACATGCAAGGAGGAATAGCAGGATCATGGGCACAGAGCTTCATAGAAACGGAACTCACCAATGATGACTTCCTTTCTTATGGGAGTTGGAGAGACTTCATTGCGAGTGTGAACAAAGCATTTGGCGATGAAAATATTGAAGAAACCGCTCGTACCTTGCTGCATAACATCAAGCAAGGAACTCGTACTGCGGACGACTACATTGCCAAATTCCGATCGCTTGAATTCAAGGCAAAACTAGAAGATGCCGGAAATATCGAGTATTTCAAGTGGGGGCTTAACGACCCACTCTGACAAAGGATATATGGGGTGGAAAGCATGCCCAAGACACTTGACAAGTGGTACGAATATGCCTCGCGGTTTGACAACCAATGGAGATCTGCTCAGATCTTCAAGCGAGGAGCCACTACAACAACACGAGGAAAAGGCCGACCTGTCCATCGTCCCTACTACTCGGCTTCTGCAAAGGATCCAAACGCGATGGATGTTGATCGTGTCAATATCTCGTGCTTATCTCCAGACGAGCGACAGAAGAGAATGAAAGAAGGATTATGTTTCCTATGCGGAAAGAAGGGCCATATAGCCAACGACAGACAATTCCACCCCCAGTCTGGAAGTTTCACCCGTGCTAGAACGATACAGCCCGGGTTGGACACAGACACGATCACATGGATCAAGAAGATGCAAGAAGACCTCGCACAGAAGAAGGAGACGTTGAAGGAAGAAACCAGAGAGGAACAGATCGCCTATGTGCGAAATGTCTTCAACGACATGACTGATGAAGAACGAACCCAATTGGGTTTTTGAGACGATGGCCACTAGTAATGCATGGACCGTCGCATCTTACCGTATCTCCCCTCGTTATTTGTAACACTAGCGGAAATTCAATCACTGTGAATATTTCATTGGGAGAGAAGGAAGACATTACAACAGAAGCCTTGATCGATTCCAGTGCAGCCGAAACGTTCATGAACATTTGTTTTGCGGAAGAAAACAATTTCATCAGATGGGAATTACCGAAACCGATTAAAGTCATGAATGCAGATGGCACACACCTTTCAGTCATGTTACCTGAACTGAACTCCCATTTACCCTGACATTGTCATGAACTGGACAGCCAGCGGACGTCGGCCCATTGTCACCATGTTGACCTCTACCAGCAGTGGGCCCATATCTTTCATGTGTGGGATACTAGCAGTGGGCCCACCGCTAGTGTTCTTCTCCCAGTGCTTGGCCCACTAGCAGGGCATATTACAGTGTTGTAACTGTTAAGCAATGGGCCCACCGCCACAGGTCAGAGGGTGGGCCGACGCCAGAGCATGTTATCGCCATCGATGGGCCCACTGCCAAAGTATGATCAATGAGCAGTGGGCCCATCGCCACGAGTGTAAGATGACGGATGGGCCCACCGCCAAAGGTCAGAGTGTTGGCCATGGCCAGAGCATGTTTGTCTGAGCAATCGGCCCACCGCCAGAGTATGATGAATGAGATGACAGATGGGCCCACCGCCAAAGGTCAGAGTGTTGGCCATGGCCAGAGCATGTTTGTCTGAGCAATTGGCCCACCGCCAGAGTATGACGAATGAGCAGTGGGCCGATCGCCCAGAGTGTAACCTGAAGGATGGGCCCACCGCCAAAGGTCAGAGTGTTGGCCATGGCCAGAGCATGTTTGTCTGAGCAATTGGCCCACCGCCAGAGTATGACGAATGAGCAGTGGGCCGATCGCCCAGAGTGTAACCTGAAGGATGGGCCCACCGCCAAAGGTTAGAGGGTTGACGATTGCCAGAGCATGTTATCGCCAGCAGTCGGCCCATCGCCAAAGCACCCTCAGTGAGGGCCTTACTGCAAGCACCCATGGGATAGGTCATTGCCAGGACATGTTTCCGCCAGCAATCGGCCCACCGCCAAAGGTCAGAGGGTTGGCCAACGCCAGAGCATGTTATCGCCAGCAATCGGCCCACCGCCAAAGGCCAGTGGGTTGACGATCACCAGGATATGTCATCGCCACCAATGGGCCCATTGTCACATACAGCCCTGCAATTTCCGGGTGCATTGGTGGTGATGACGTGCTCTGGTGATCGCCAATCCTCTGACCTTTGGCGGAGGGCCAATTGGTGGCAAAAACACGGCTTGGCGATGGCCAACCCTCTGACCCTTGGCAGTGGGCCCTTTGCTGGCGGAGCGATATTCCCATGCAGTGAAGCTTTCACTCAGGTCCTTTGGTGATGGGCCAATTGCTGGCAACAACATGCCTTGGTGATGGCGAGCGCAGTCCGCCCATCTGAAGAGTACACTGGAGGAGCGATGGGCTTTAGAGCTTAGTGATGCAGAAGTGAATGTATCCATTTTGTACTGGTATACAAGCTGTTACATAGCGGTCATATATTGCTAACACCAGAACGCTCAAAGACACTAGTTCAGTTCCTGCAATACGCCTTGCCACGAATGTCCCTCAGAATGTACCCCATTTGGAACACGGTCGAGCTGGCATTGAGGTTCGCAACGTGCATATCCTCAGTGAGGTTGAGCTCACGCTGAAGACGTACAATGTGCTCCCGCAACATGGCGCGACGACGACTAACCGCAAAGCTATCACCTTCGTCATCGTCCACTATGAATAAGGTCAACATCAGACTGAAGGTTGCCAGGGATGTACTCACTGGAACTGTCTGCCTCTGCTGCGATCTGCGCAAACGATCTACCAAGGCGGGCCACTTGTGAGCCAGAAGTGGCATTCATCTCTCCAGGGACTGCCATTGGCAGCAGCTGTGTGGTATCTGGGAATAAGCCTGGAACCTGTTCCCAATGGGTGGGACGATGGATCGGCAGCTCATCTGGAAGTGCTGCCAGACTTGGCATCCTGGAAGTAACAGTGACTGGCTCGATGCTGCCTTTCATATAGTGAATGACAGGTGCATCATGGCGGAAATTGCTATCATCGAAAGTGCGAGCTGGCGAGTGAGAGGGCGCCGATGGCGGAGGCGGTGGACTTAAAACATCGTCCAACAAAGGCCGCCTCTTTGGAGGCGAAGTGCTGGGACTATTTAGCCACCGGACCTGGCTACGCACAGGCGTCGCGCCAGGGCTGTCTATCACCAGAGCTCGCCGTCATCCTGGCATGGCGGGAGGACTATTGTCAAAGTCCAGCAGTTTCAGCACTGGTTCCGCGTCAAGTGTCTCGTCCACCAGCATGCCCCTCGCCATCGGTGTACTTGCTTGACTATCGAAGTGGATGGATGTACATGGCGTAGCGTCAAGGGGCTCAGCAATGAGCGATCGTCGAGGGAGTTGAGAGGTGTCAGGAGTGCAAAAGTCAAAAGTGTGAGCTGGTGGAGGAAGGGGAGTAGCTTCCAACAGGGCACGTCGAGGGATTGGCGAGATGCCAGGAGTGTCGAAGTCGAACATTCCACCGGGCGCAGTGGGGGTGGAATCTGAGATGAGTGCACGCCTATGGATTGGCGAACTGCCACGACTTTCATCCCAAGCTGGCGCCAGAGGGTCAGGAATAAGTGCGCGACTTCTCTCCACAGGCGCCACAGATCCAGATGACGCCTGTACCTTTGGCGAGGCGTGGCGGTGGAGATGCTCATGTGGCGAGTTGGATGGCGCAAATAGAGCCGCCAGGGACGGGGTAGTGTGGCGGGGCACGAGGGGTGTCTGAGAAGCAGAGTGGAGAGGCAAGGAGATCTGGGCAGATCCAGGAGAGTCAAGGAGATCCGAAATGAGTGGACGACGGGGCTCAGCGATACTATCCTCCTCATCCAACTTGCCCATCGTAATGTCCAGCGTGTCAGGAGGTTCCGCGTCACTGGCCATGGCAGGTAGATTGTGGCGAGCAGACAAGTCTTCGATCAGTCCTGGATCGCGGGAGATCAGTTGTAGAAAGGGGATTGATATGACATAGAAAGGTCAGATAACATCACAAAGGAGTCAGATTCCACAAGGAGAGCAATAGAACTTACTGTTGGGAGCCATGAGAACTTGCGGCAGGTCACACTGACCTTGAGAGACTTGAGAAATTGCGCAAGTCCAGCGATCACGTGCAAAGCACGTGGTCGCATGGCGTGTGAAGTTGAACTTGGTGCAGATCGCGTCTGCCAGCTCATAGCATCGTCTGCTCCGCCTCCGCTGTACTGCAACCTCTGCTTTTGAAACACCCTCACGCTTTCTTCTGCCAAGCTTGCCATGCCTCTGGATATCGACCCCAACTATGTTCTGCAGGCCGCGCGACTGACGGCCATTGTTGCAGCGGCGCCTCGCCAGGACGACCCTCGCTATCCGGACTGGGAGACGAGGATTTACCTCGAAGTGGTAAGTCATCGGTCGAAGGTCTGGCATGCACTTACCGAATATGCCACACAGAGTCGGCTTGAAAAGAGTTTCCCGCAGCCCTTGAAGTCATTGAGGATGCCTGGGATCGTCATCAGCGCGTTGCTGGAATTCACCCGGGCATACCAGCAGAAGGCCCTGGCGCGGCTGGACCACATATCGAACGACGATGAGAGGATATACAAGAGGTACCCTCTGGCTGTGTGCGAGTATGGGGAGTGTGAGGACCTGGGAAGGCAGTGGTGGACTGAAGGTGAGTCACAAGCATTGTGAGGCGTCGAGCGACACACTGACTGCACCAGATCCATATTGCAAGCTGCCACCGGTGAAGAGTACGCCAGCGGAGGGCTGGGGCAATGTGCCAGCCGATGACGACACCCAGGGACGTGGCGAGGAGGACCTGGCTACCGGGGACCTCATCACCAAGGGGAAAGGCAAGGAGAGAGCTGACAACGACGTTGGGACAGGCATGGTGGGTGAGCGTATCGTCCACGTGGAGGCGGGGGAGGACAAGGGAAAGGGCAAGAGCAAGGAGAAGGCACAGGGGAAGGTGGCGCATGCAATGAGCGAGGAAGAGGATGGGGGAGAGGGAGAGGGAGAGGGAGAGGAGCAGGAGGGCGAGGACGACGATGATGCCGACAGTGACGAGGACGACGATGCCGACAAAAATGACGACGATGAGATGGCGGAAGACGTGCCGGGTGCAGGCCAGCCCGAATCCATCGAGGTTGATGCGGCGTCGCCCCCTCCGCCAACTGCCAGACCAATATCGATCTCGCCAGCTGCACCATCACTCCGAAAGTGCAAGGTGGTCATCACAGAGTCGAGTAAGGAGAGTGAGAACGAGGAGGCAGCTCCGAAGGCGAAGCGGATGAAGCCGATCGAGGTCGCAAAGGAGAAAGGCGAGGCCCCGACCACCTCTGGCCGAGTGCAGCGTGCGCAGAAGAGGATGGTGCAGACCGAGGTGGAGGGCTCGAAGGTGAGCACGAAGAAGAGCGGGAAGAGGAAGGCGAAGGAGTCAAGCGATGAAGAGGAAGTACCGACCGTCAAGCCGCCAAAGAAGAAGCGTGCGACGAAGGAATACAAGAGCAAGGAGTTCATCGAAAGCGAAGATGAGACTCTGGCACCGCCTTCCAATCTACCCGCCAAGACCGCAGGGGACTCTAACGACGGTGTTGCGAAGACGAACGCCCCTGCCAAACCTGTCAAACAGACAATGAGGATGACGGCGACGCCTCATGTCGCACCGAAGGCAAAGGCAAAGGCAAAGGCAAAGGCGACGGCGAAGGGGAAGGCAAAGGCAAAGGTGATGGTGTCGCAGAAGGACATGTGGAAAAAGACGTCCACCCGCGTGTCTGACTTCATGTGGGCACACGCAACAGATTCGGTGAGTAACGATCTTGTGAGACATTGACCTGTGCTAATGTTCCTGCAGCTCGTCCCTTGCGTTGGCTGCCAGGAGAAAGAGTGGCCATGCAAGCTCAACACCGCCAACTTCGGTCGCTGCCTCGAATGTGCAGCACGAGGTGTCAGTTGCAGCATCGCGCCGAGGAACACGGACGGCGTGCCCCTGCGAGGAAACTCACACACCACACAGCATGAGTTCCAAGAGATGTGCGCAGCGCTGGTGGTAGAGGGCAAGCCACTGCCCACATCGCCACCTCCATACGACGTCAAGGTCGACTCCGATGAGCCCGACGGTGCAGAACCCATGTTCATGGGAGCGTTGAAGCGCAAGCTGCCGAAGAAGACCAAGACGCGCAATGCTGCAGCATCCAGCTCCAAGGTCAAGGGTGGTGAGGAGGTCGAGGCGACGAAGCAGAAGGCGACCGTCACGCCCTATGAAGCCAACGCTGAAGGCGAGGCCTCGGTGGAGAAATCGTCGAAGTCCAAGCGCGCCACCAAGTCCGCCACCGCCACTGGAGCTGTGGCTCTGTCCAACTCTGGCGAGGTCTCCAAGTCTGGTGCGGTCGCCAAACCTGGCGAAGGTAAGAAATCAGGACCCAAGGCAAAGCCGGTGAGGAGCCAAAACTCAGGTGTGCAAGATGGTGGCGAGGTCACCAGGACCTCAGTATGTGAGCCGGATGAGGTCCTGCCTGCCAAGTCTGTTGCGAAGGAGGGCGGGCAGATGACAAGGGTGGCAATGGGAGGTCGCTCGGGCCCAATGGTGCCCGTGATCACCAGGAAGGCGAAGGCGAGTGCTCCCAAGGCAGCAGCCAAGATGCCTCTGGCGGAAGGCGATGGCATGGAGGAAGCCGCCAGGCTGGCAATGGAGGCGGTGCGGGCTATGGCCTTCCAAACAGGGCCAGCTGCTCCGCCGCAAGCTAGCAGCAGCAAGTGCATGCTGACACCAGTTGCCGATGAACCAGAGGATGCACCAGAGTATCAGGCAGAGGTGGCGGAGGATGAGGTAAGCAGGACATCTTGTCGCAGCTGGAGTCGATGTAACCATGAAACAGCGCGCGTCCTTGGAGCGGCCACACGACGATCGGCGGTGTTCGCTGCTGATGCCCCACGAGACGAGCGCAGGAGCTGCCGAGGTGGCACAGGAGGTGACGCCCTCCCTGGAGATATCCAAGGCATTGAAGGGAGTGAAGTCCTCCACATTGGCGAAGGCAGGACATCTCGATGAAGGGCGAAGGCCAGCTAAGAGGGGCGCCCCACTGGACCGCAAGGCAGCGAAGAAGGAGGCGGAGGCGAAAAGGGATGCGAAGGCGAACCGCCTCAGAGCAGTGCCTCCGACCAGCAAGGGTAAGTGCGCCCGCCACAGCTTCGAATCCATGCAGCGCTGACCAGGGATACAGCACCCCACTTGCGCGACATCCAGCGAGTGTCTACAGGAAGTCCCGCTCCGGTGAACGAAGGCGACACCCCCAGTGGCGAAGAAACCTCGCAGTCATCCAACGATGACTGCGCGAATTGTGCCGAGTTGCGACAGGAGTTCCTGGCACACAAGGACGGGATGGAAGTCCAATTCCAGGAGAGGATGGCGGACCTCAACACCGTCAAGGCAGAGATCACAGCGGCGCTCCAGCGAATCAACCCGCCATCCGCATTTCAAGAAAATGCCCGGAGCATTCGCGAAGAGGTCAAGTTGGCGATGGAGGAGTTTCGCAGGCCAGTCAGCATCGAGCTTCAGGAGAGCGTGAAGTTGGCGGTGGCAGACCTCGTCGCCAAGCGACATTGCCTGCCAGAGCTCAAGGAGAAGGTCAACAGGTTGGAGCAAGGTGCGAACCAGACGGTGAGCCAAGCGGACGTCGACAAGCTGCAGGGCGAATTGGCCGACCTCCGTCATTCGATGGAGCTCCAGGCAGCGCGGTCAGACAGCATGGAGAAGGAGCTCAGGTCTTCGGCGGCAGAGGCGATCGCTCAAGCGAGCAAGCTGGAGATGGAATTGGCGCTCACCAAAGAGGATTCGATGGCGGTGGCGACGTCCGCTTTGGATGAAGCGAAGAAGGTGGGGAAGGAGGTGGCGACGGCGAGAGAGGAAACCTCGCTGGTGGCGAAGTCTCTGGACGCATTCCGAGAGAAGGTCGACTCCGCCATGGTCTTCACCGCCTTTCGCCCAGATAGACACAATGTGTAGTCATTAGAGTATTGATATACATGCTTTTTAACCTAGCATGGAATCTCCATGCACTCGATTCGTCACTGCCACTCCAAGTCAACTGAATGCCTGCTGAAGTTCTCGCCAACTCCCCTCGCCATTGCCACCATCTCCATGGCTTTACCTATGTAGATCTATGGGTCACATTAAACAATGTGGAAGCCTACGAGTCTACTTTGAACTGGAGTTATATTGTCAAGGTCTGGTGCCGCCACTGCGGGTCTTGCGACCTGCGCCAACTTGGCCACTCTCTTTCACTTTGGCGGCTGCTTTCCCCAGACGGACCGGCTTCAGCTTGGTTTCTCCCTTGTCCTTGACCTCCGGGGTCTGAGGCAGAGCTCGTCTTCGCTTTGCGGGAGGCTTGTCACCATCATCTGAGTCCTCAGCCCTCGCATTCTTCTTCCTCAGCGAGGCCACTACCAACTCGTCCCGAGTACCACGTCCACGCTTCCGAGGTGGCGGATTGTCTTCGCCAGAGCTGTCTTCGCCATCGGGCTCGGGACGTGCTGGTTGACGTTTCCGCTTTGGATCAGGAAGCTTCTTCAAATCTTTCACAGCTCCTAGTGGATGCTGACTGCGGGTATTCTTGGCGGGCGACTCATCCATCGCTTGACGCTGACTGCGAGTGATCCTGCCGGGGATATTACTCTGAAGGGCATCAGTGATCGACCTTCCCTGGAGCGCTTTGGCTTGACCTGATGGACGGTCTTCCTTGGCTGCGGCCTTCCTCGTCTTAGGTATAAACGGAGGCAGTGGCGGTCGTTCAGCACCACTGCTAGGTACGGACAAGTGTGCATCGTCCTCTTCGCCATTGTCAGAGGCCCCACCACTGGTCTCCTGGCTCGGCCCTTCGTCTCCTCCACTTGGAATGATTAGTTTGTCAGCCATGGGGGCAGGCTGGTGAGCCTTGTGAACTTTGGCAGCAGTAGCAGCGCCATCATGAGTTCTTGCAGAGGCATCACCTTCCTGCTCCTCCTGGCCCCCAAGGCCATCGCCACCTTGTGGGGCACCGCGTATGGCAGGCTTGCTCACTGGCTTCACCATGGCATGGGTGACGTTCCCTTCCACCATGTCCAAGGTAATGATCTCGCAACAGCGAAGCAGCTGCTCTACTGCGTCAAATGAGATCGCCGAGTTCACCACATAGTCGGGAAGGTTGGTCGGTTCGCCCTCCTCAATGAACTGAGATCGTGTGAGGTCCCTCAGCGCCATACCAATCACGAGTGCAGATTGTTGTACGCCCTGTGGATGTAAGAACCGATATTTTGTCAGCCATGGTTTGTCGCCCAACCAGTTCTTGACGATGTCAAAGTTGTCCACCGCATGAAATGACGGCGGGAGGTAGCGCTGGCCATACGACCATTCACTCCAGGGAATCGGATCATACCTGGCAAAACGATACACCTGGGGCTATATGACGGATGATCAATAGTGGCTATGAATCCCCACGAAAGGAGCTCACCACAGTCGCAATCTTGACTTCCTTCAGCATATCCTGGTATCGCGGTTCGACGGAAAGGGTGGCGAGAAACACGTCTCTCCTTTTCACAAGGTGGGGCACAGTACTCCCCACAGTACTCCCGCCAGTGAGACGCGGGGCTCGGCCTTGAAGCTCAAGCCTGAGCTCCTTTGTACTGGGCTCCAGTTCACTCCATGCTTCATCGGTCTCCTCTGTGTCAAATCTGTGCAGTTCGCCCAGAGGAAGGTCTTGGAGACCTCGCTTTGCCTTCGTCTTGGCACCGCTGCTACCACTCGCTTGAGGTGCACCACCATTGTTAGCCTTACGTCCATTGGTGGTGGCGACTGCCTTGCCCTTCGCTTTATTCGCAATCACGCTCTCGCCATCCCCTGAATCTTCATCGCTGGCCGTATCTTCTTCGGAAGCCATGCTGGGTATATCTGGCAAACTCCGATCAGAGTCTTGGCTGCTTCTGGCATCATCTTCCGAGTCGTATGCATCTTTCGTCTTGCGTTTATGCCCACCGCCTTTGGCTCCGCCAGGGGCCGCTTTGCCCTTTGTCGCCTTCAATGCCGCCTTTCCCATGACCTTGCGCACAGGTTTACCCTTCTTCTTCGCCTTCTCCGCCTTCTTAGGTGTGAGTGCTTCTTGGACCTCATGTTCAGATCCTTCTTCTAATGCCTGTGCTGATCCGTCAAGTGGTGGAAGAGGATCATACTTGGCGGGAGCAGCTTCGCCATCCTTGTCGAAGTACTGGGTGAATCGCATGGTCTGCTCAGGTCCATGTTCCTCTTGGTGTGCCTGCCAGTGGTCGAGGAGGGCACGAACGGGAACACTTGTCATCTTTGAGGGATCGATCCACTGGAAGTTCTCAGGTAGCATCTCCGCTGGAATAACCTCATTGATGTCGTCTATGCTGTTCAGCTTCATCCATGGCGACTTGCAGTTCCGAGCACCCTTCGCCAATGCTGTAAACTGGTCAGCATCTCTCAACACCGAGTGGGAGTGTCATACCGTAGTGATGATTCATGAAGTCTCGAACTTGTACCTTCATCACCTTGAGAGGCGCTTCCGCCATACCTTCGGGCACCGAGGGGAGCAGAGGAAAACCGTTGGCCATCAACCGAATCTTGTCCATGGCCCGCATGCAATCGGCAGGTGTCTTCTTCACCGTCACCGTAGTCTCAGTCACACCTAAGAAATCAGGTCAGTGTGCCAGCGACAATGCAACTGAGGTCTTCTTACCGTATTCGCCTTTGGCCCACTCAGAGAACACCTTTGCTAGATGCTGGTAAGCACGCAGCCACCCAGGATAGGCCCCAAATGGAGTTTCATTGGTGATGGCGTGATTGACCTCCACCCTTCACTCGGGGGTTAGTAGATGGTGATAGTTAGACGGTCTACGCTCACATCTCTACCTTCAGACTCCCCGCTTCCTTCGGATATGCTAGCATGAATGCCATGCGAATGCCCATGGTGTCCCACATAGTCTTGGCAAACTTCTTCAGATATTGCATCATTCGCTGCTCCCTCAGCCTGTCTTAGGTCAGGATTTGCCTTATGCTACGTGACAGGAGGTACGCACTTCATTTTCGTCTTATCATCCAGAGTGCCATTGCGCCAACTTTCCGCCTTTTTCTCATACACCTTCTGCTCCTCCTCAGACAGTTTTGCCCATTCGGCACTCCGTGCGACTCTCCACACCTTGGAGACATTGCAACCCTTATCTGCCGTGAGTGCTCGCGCGGCCTCAGTCACCTTGTCCCTCTCCAGCGCATCCCACACCTTGAAGGCATTGGGCTTGCCAGAAACATGCATACGCTTTTTCGTCGCTTTCTCCTGCGCATGGCGGGTGTGGTTATTGAGCCACTCTCGGATTTTCTGCGGTGAGAGTCAGTGGGGACCTCACAGACATGAAACACTGCTCACAGTTTCCACAATGATGTCGTCATAATTTGACGTGTCGACAAACTGTGTCTTCAGCTTCTGGCGCAAGCTCTGAACTAGAGTCTTGCGTCCCTTGGCATCTGCCATGTCATAAGACCGCAGCTTCTCAGAGAGTATGGGCTGATGCTCCGTCAAAATTACAAATCTCGCCGGCATGCTTTCTCGATGTTGAGGATGAGATTTTTGTGTTGGGACAGTGAAGGGGGTCGATAGTTCAACAGGCAGCGCTCTGTCCATTTCCTCGTCGGCCGCCCACAACTCAACATGCACGTGCTGATGGCCCATTTGGGCTTACACCAATTACCCTCCTCGCCATGGTGTGTGGTGACTGCTGAAGCATTGTATGTGTCTTTTTCGCAGTGGCGGGAGGTGGTAGTAGGTATGCACTAGCATTTATGCCTGGTGAAAGGCAATGTTGAATGCCGCTTCTATGGCAGAGCACACCACGCCAACTTCATCTCACGAATGCTGGGCGGAGGCAATCTGGCGATCATCTGCATGCCAATCTGTGGGATAAAGGGCTTCCTCGGAGTTAGGCTCGGCCAATTAGATGGCGGTGACGAAGGGCCCAGACATGGTGGACCACCCGGCCCGTGATCTGGCATGGCGGCATCAAGTCTGGCTCGGCGGCATGATGAACATGTGAGATGTGCAAGGGACGTGCTTGCAAGCAATATGCAGGCAGATGAATGCATACTGTTCTTTGCCATTCTGGCCCCTCCTACATTCTCCCCTGCATCTGCAAGCCAACCGCCTGAGCCCGCCATACACCTGTGCGTTCCTTCAACTGATGCATGCTGTAATTGTCCCATTGATTGGCAGACAGTATCAAGATGAGCAATCTGTCACCCATGCCACTGACCGATCAGATAGCAGGAGTCTTGGAGCTCATGTTCCGCCGAAAGCTCCATCTGGCCACTCATGCAGCCCATTCTGCGCCATCTATAGAAGTGCCTCCGTCCATGCCATCCGCCCTCCTATTGGAGTGCAATGGCATTGCAGATGCTCTTGTGAAGGCCATCCGTAATCCTGGTAGTCATTAGTCTTGCCGCAGGTCTGATCACACTGATCACGCCATTGTAATAGTAAGGCTGCAGTGGGACATTGATAGATATTGCGACAGCCTTTCGATTCAGCCCACGGGGCAGAATGAAGTCCTCGAGGCAGAACTGGAACGGAAGTGGCCTCCTCCATTTGGTGAGAGCGAAATACGCATAGACCAGCCCGCCACCCTCGTGGACATGCACGGACGCATCTTGGCTTGGATACTTCCAAGAGTGTTGATACCAGACTGCCAGGTGAGTGGCTTGCCCAGCCTTGCGCTGTGATCTGACAAATTTGTCAGACGAAGATGCTCCAAGCGACCAGGGCCCTACACCCAGCAATAGCAGCCAGTAAGCCTTCCAGCACCACCGCCAGTTGGCGACACAACCCGTTGTACTTCTTGCCTCCTGAGGAGTGTACCCAATTCCCAGCGGGCTCCTTGTGTCTCTCGCCAGGTTGGTTCCAACAAGTAAGAGAGGTGGGTCTCCTCGCCACGCCATTTGCCTTGCGTCTGGACAGCCTTTGCAGCATATGGAGTCTGGGAGGCTGGAGACCTCCGCCAGCCTGAAGCTTGAGGGCGGAAGAAGTTGGCTGCATGATATTCATGACTCCTCCGCATTGCTGGGCGCCATCCTGGCCGTCGTTCACCCAACACTATATGCCGCAGGACGCCAGTGCTTGGGTTTGATCCAGCAAGACTCAGAATTGCGAGAGATGGCGCTGAACTGATCGTCGCCATTCAATGCACTCCAGGTGATCGCCAACTGGGAAACTCCTTTCCACCGAGATAGCAAGACAAGATACACATTCTACGACCTGTTGGCGATGTTGGGCAACTACACTTGCGCGTGGTTGAAGTTCCCCACCATGCGTGTCGCCATCGATTATAGTCCTGGAACCGTCATAGCCTTCTGTGGAAAGGCGATTCGTCATGGCATCACTCGAGCAGATGGCGAAAGGCTCGTCTATGCATACTTCATGCGAGAGGGTGTCCAGAACAGGCTAGGCATTCCGGCGCCCCACTGGATGCAAGCTTCATATTACGCCTCACACATTGGCATGTGCACAGTTCATCACCGAGTCTGCATTCCTAACTCAGAACAGGTCCTAACTGGCTCGCTTATTAGAGGGACATCATGCCAAAGACTGATGGAGACGAGAACACTATGCAGGGGATGGAGACTGTCGATGGCAGCTTCATTGGCGGGACAAAGTTGGCGGAGGTGATGGCGAAATGTATGGAGTCACGAATTTCCGAATCCTAGCTGAAGGTTAGCGAGCGCGCGGTACGAGTGCGCATTTCACATCTCGACAGTGTTCAGCTCAAGGTGTAGTTATCACTGATGGCAGCGTATGGTTGGCGGACCTCGAAGTTGGCGGAGATGGTGGCGAAATGTGTTCGGTCGAGAAGTTGTGAGTGCTAGTGGGGCAGATGGCGGCAGCATTGGCGAGCGCGCGGTGCAAGTGCACGTTTCCCTTTTGAACATTATGCTACTCCGAGTCAAGGCAAAGTTAGCACTGAGAGCGACATACAATTGGCGGACCTCTCGCCAACATGGCATCCTTATCTGCATAACGCTGATATGGTGCCTAAAGAGACCACGAGGTGATAAGGCCCAGGCATTGCAGCCATTCTTAACCACCTTGATGAGTAGTCTGGTGGGCAGCAAGACCGTGTGTGATTTGCATGTGTTGTGCGATAGGGACACAATGCTCATTGATTGGCTTGGAATACGACTCCCCACTGACCTGAACCATGAGCAGACGCAACAAAAGCAGGCTCGTTGTAGACCTGGATGACGAGGTTGAGTTTGTGACCAAGGTAGCTAAGCAGACCACTAGGGGAGTACGCTATGTGGACGTACCTTTGCCCATGCCCACGGGTTCAAATGTGCCATCGCCTTCCAAAAGTCCATCGAAGGCTCCAGCTTCAGGCCCCTTGTTTAACTTGGATGATGGCGACGTCCTGGGCAACATAGGTGTGCCGATTCAGCTGGATCCGGCGGCTCGGAAGACAAAGGTGGGCACTCCCGCCATGACCATCTGATGGTCTGACCATGCGCGATAGACCCAGAATGACTTCATGAGGGACTGGATACCCCACCGTGATGACTATCTTCATGCCATTGTTGAGATGGAAGCCCCGCCTGAGCCCAGAAACTGTGCGGAATGCAAGGTTGGCGAGGGACGGTGGCGATGCCTGGACTGTATGGGCAGACCGCTCACCTGTATCGACTGCTGTCGTAACGGCCATCAGCGTGCTCCTTTCCATCGGATAGAGCATTGGCAGGGTCAGTATTTTGAGCCAGCATCACTGTATTGGGTTGGCGTCTGCATCCATTTGGGGCATGGCGGAGATCCCTGCCCTCTGGGTGCCTTCACAGCACATAATAACCCTGCGCCGGTGGTGGCCCCGGGGTCCAATTTCTGGAATGCCTCCAATGAAGACCTAAATGCACATGATGGCGAGGTCCCATTCAACTTTGCACCTCTGGCAGGCACCCTTAACGGTGAAGCAAGGCAAACCGACGATGCTCCCGATCCCACTTGGGAGGAAGATGTGCCACCGGTGCTCTCCCGGCCACCTCGCCGTGATAGTTACAGGAATCGCATCATAGTCATTGTCGACATCTCTGGCGTTCACCATATCGGCGTTGACTGGTGCCAGTGTGAGATGGCAGTGGAGCGTGACATGCAGCTTCTTCAAATGGGACTTTACCCTGGTACCATCAAGGATCCCCATACCGCCTTCACATTCGCCGTCCTCGACGATTTCCTTCTGGAGAACAAAGAGTGCAAGACAGCGGCATTGAACTACTACAGCAAGCTCAAACGGGTCATGAGCAATGCCTTCCCTGGCACCATTCCCGTAAGTGTTCACATGCATTCCCATGGCCCAACCGTTCATGCCAGTTCCTCGCCAGGACCGTTATCGTGAGCTGATGCGGGTGTCCCACCAATGGCGCCAACTCAAATATCGCAAGTGGCACGGCTTCTCACACGATGCCCTCCGTCCTGTGGAGAAGGGTGGCCTCGCCATCTTTTGTCCTGCCTGTCCCCAGCCTGGGCTCAACCTGCCTTTCGATTGGCAAGCGGATCCAGTGCAGTGGAAGTTCAAATGCGGCTTTGTCATGGATGGAAATTTCAGTGCAGAGCACATGAAGATGAAGCACCCCGAGGAGGACGTCGCCCTCAGTGACGGCCAGGCATTCATGGTCGGCCAAGAGGATTACAAGGCTCATCTGGCGGTGGCCATGGAGTCGCATCAGGTGCGTGTCTGGCTGCACGTTCTTCTTCCGCCCTTGACTCCTAAGCCCACCAGCGCTCCACTTGTCATGAGCACCGCGCTGTCAATCAGGCCAATGTGGATCGCGCCAACCTCGACGCCACAGGAATCGGGGCCACTGCTTGCGCCAGACATGGTTTCTTCGTCCCTCATACTGTCGTCGATTTCCAGAAGGGAGAAAGGTTCGCATATGTCTCTTGTCATGATTCATTCTCACCGACGCACCCTCTGCAGACAAATGAATATGGATTACTCTCTCAGCAATGCACTCCTGACCCTCACCGGTATCACCCTCGTCCTCGTCATGTACGACATCATGTGCCAGTATGGCGTCCATGTCCGCAAACATTTCCGCCACAGCGCCTATCTGAGGATGCCCTTCGAGCTCAAGGTAGACCAAGGCATCAGCTTGTTTCATGTGCACGGACACCAAGATTGCTGCTTCCAACGGTTCTCGCCCAACTTTATAGTTGGCGCTGGTATGGTCGATGGCGAGGTCATTGAGACCCTGTGGGTGCCAACAAATGAGGTCTCAGGCAGTACCAGGGGCATGACCCGAGCTCACCACCAAGAAGTCCTTGATGATCACATGAATGACTCCAACTGGAAGAAGACGACTCGCATGGATGAGCCTGGTTCCTCCTTCCCTATTTGCCACCTGCCTTATGCTGCCTATAGTGCCAACCTTGATGACAAAGTGGAAACGCGTGCTCCTGGGCTTCCCACGAAGCAAGGAGTCCTTTGAAGCTTTATCTGCATCCACAGATGAGGATGTCCTTGAGGCATGGCAGAAGGAGTACGATGACGCTATGGAGGCTCGCCAAAATGATCCGAAGATCATGGACACCTTCAATGTCCAGCTCATGAAGGGTGAGTATCCTTCCATCATCGTGTGGCATGTAGTTGACGTGAATGCAAGCCCCGGGTAAAGACCTCACCCAACTCAGACTGGCGGGCGAGGAGTCCGCCAAGGGCTTGGAGAAGGGCACCGCCGGATGGTTGTCGACTGGCCTCAAAATTCAAGAAGCACAGTGAGTTTGCCTCATCTTAACAAAAATACAGCTCTGACGGCCTTCAGGCTTAAGCTTGCGAATGATATCCGCAAGGCGAGTCAAAATCCGAGCGTGGCGGAGGACCTCAAGACTCTCGAGCGCCATCAGCGCCTCGAAGTCAGCATTCTCACATTCCAACGTCGCTCTGAGAAGTTCATGGGAAGGTTGGAGGACGTTCCCGCCATGGAAGATCGTGACGATGATGCGCTCTGGGATTCCTTGGATGAGAATCCTTTTCAAATACACCCGGAGGACGCTGAGTATGGTGAGGATGCAATTCCTCCCGAGCGAGCTTCCTTGAATTTACCTTCGCAGATAGGATTCGTGGCCGCCATCGCCAACAGGCTCCAGACCCTGGCGGCCCAAGAGTTGGAGTTGCGCAAAGGCCTGATGAATGACATCCTCCACGAGCTTCGCATGGCGCGTGGACTGAAGTCTTACCTCTACCGCAAGAGGGTTCATCCCGCCAACAGCATCGGAACCATGACCCGTGCACAGGCGGAGGTTCATGCTGCCGATCAGACCGTCTTGGCCTGCGCCAGGCTCTATTCCGCCAACCGACGCGCCATTATGCGCTTGGATGCCACCGATGAAGACTTGGCCCTCTATCGCCCTTTGGATAAGAAGGACCTGCACGTGAAGACTGCCGTCATCGAGGCTAGCACCTCCGGGCTCAGGAACGTCAACCTGGCTTGGTTCTGGACCATGGATGTCGCTGGAGATCGAGGTTCATCAGAATGGATGGACGAGTGTTCGTAATTGTCCGATCGATCTCCAGGCCTCCTGCTAATTTACCCTCCAGTCTATAGAGTGAATTGGCTGCGTGTCAGAGCTCGATATGAGAGATGGAGGGAGGAGCATGTCTTGGTCCACTCGGAAATGGCCTGGACCATAGCCACCTTCAAGCGGAATGCGGAACGATGGGCTCACTGACTCGAGATGACGGATCCTTCCTGGCGGGGTCATGTTTGCTATGCCGCCAGGCAAGTGAGTATGTGGCGGACCTTCGCCAGTCATGCCACTGACGCCTTCAGCCACATCCTCGCCCTGGACATTGAGGACGAAAGGGCGGGTGATGAAAATGTGCTTTGAGTCAGGGTTCACTGGGGTGTACGCATATTCATGTTTGCTATATCGATGTAGTGATCATCATGTATGTAATTCCTACTCACCAATATCACATTTGGCGAAGTGACCTCCATCCTCGCCTGAGGGCTTCATCTCGGCATGTGCTCTCCAATCGCATGACATCAGACATCAGATAAGGTCGATCAGATATCAACCTCAGCTCATCCACTCACCATCATGTCTGCCCAGTCTTCAACATCAGATGCGCGCCCCTGCCTGTTCTCCAGAGGAAGGTTGCAGTTGGAAGTCTACACTTGGAGGATCCAAGAAGCTGTTCTGGCACTGGAGCCTAACCCAGATCACTTCACCAAGGTCCGTTGGGAGGAAGGCTTGCGTCGGGAGATGGTACGCCTTTCTTGCTGATATCGCCTGACCCTGCTGAGTCCTGTGCAGTTCGCCATCAGGGGTATCTGTGGCGACCTCGCGTTGGCGGGTCATGCTGACCATATCGACCATGGCGGAGTTATCGCCAGTGTCCTCACCGTCTGCACTTTCAATCGCGAAGTTCTGCGCCCCATCAGCATTGACGTCAAGGCGATTCCACGCCCCACCACCCTCGTTCCTCGTCCTAAGAACCTACTCGAGGATTTACCCGACTACTGGTGGAAATGGGATCGTCAGGTTGGGCCGGCGGGGAGTCCTATGGAGGCCTGGTGGTACAAACTTGGTGATCCCTGGGTGAGTGGTACGTTCCAGCACCTTACAGTCTTGCTGAACCTCGAGAACGTAGGAGAAGGTGTACACCGTCTCCGAGTCTACACTGGTGCAGCTTGAACAGCTGCATGTTCGCGTCGTGAACCTCACTAGTTGGTTGCACGAGAGGACAGATCAGAACCTGGATGTGGTGCTGGAAGAGCTGCAGGAGGCGACGCGGCAGCTGCGTGAGTTAGGAATGTAATCGCCCAATGCCAGGCGTCCGTTCGTGCTGTAGTGTGTCGAATATAAGGTTGTCATGTCTTTGAACCTGGGCAATGTACCTGGTGTGGTAAGGCGAAACATAGTAGCCACATACTCTCCTCAGGAGGGCACATCCCCAATGGTATCTGATGCATGGCTCGAAAGCCAATGCCACATGGGAGAGTTTGGCGAAGTCATTCTGGACTGCATGTTCAGATGGCGAGTGATATCCACCACAGTTCGCCAACCCTACTCACGGTGGAAAGGACCGCCATTCGTCTCCACATACTCTACCCAGAAGGGCACATCCCAAATTGTATCTGATGCATGTCTCGAAACGCCGATGCCAATTGGGAGAGTTTGGCGAAGTCATTCTGAACTCCATGTTCAGATGGCGAAGGATATTCGCCACAGTTCGCCAACCCTTCCCACAGTGGGAGAGAGTGTGATACTGCAAGGAGAGCTGATAGTGAGCTAACCAGAATTGGAGGGAATGATGGGTGGATTACGTGGAAATTATTGGCCGGCGGTAGCTCCATCATTGCCCTGTTAGGCGGTGGATCAATCACTGAAAAATATGCCCATGACGGTTGACTGATCGCTGAGAACTACACCTATGGCAGTGGGCCGATAGGTCTGAGCAAGAGGTGCTGCATGAGCAACGACTCGGCATCGGAGCCCCCTTCTTCTGTGGTGTCCTTCAGCTCATACGCTGATTTGCACACGTCCGCATCCTCGTCTACTTCGTGCTCTTCAGTTGACTTCGGGTACAATCTGTTCACTTCGTATGGTCTACTTCTTGGCTCGGGCAACCAGGTGTGGCATCCGCCCATGCTTCCCCCCGACCAATCTCCATGTTTCATACATCCACCTATGCTACTCCCTGACGAATCATCCGGTATGTTCCTTCACCCACCCATGCTTCACCAAGACGACACGGACACGATACGAGCCCAGTTGACAACCTAGGGCAAGGCAAATAACTCAGCTATGCCCGGGCTAGTCAGATATTTCAGGCGACCCATGCTTATGGGCTCAGAAATATACCTATGGCGGTGGGCCGATGGCTGTATAATAGCCCCATGGTGGTGGGCCGATCGCTCAGAACACTACCTATGGAGGTCGGCCCATCGCTCAGAACCCTACCTATGGGGTTGTGCCGATGGCTGTATAATAGCACCGTGGCGGTGGGCTGATCGCTCAGAAATATACCTATGGCGGTGGGCCCATCGCTCAGAACACTACCTATGGAGGTCGGCCCATCGCTCAGAACACTACCTATGGCGGTGGGCCGATGGCTGTATAATAGCACCGTGGCGGTGGGCCGATCGCTCAGAACACTACCTATGGCGGTGGGCCGATCACTCAGAACACTACCTATGGAGGTCGGCCGATCGCTCAGAACACTACCTATGGCGGTGGGCCGATCGCTCAGAACACTACCTATGGTGGTCGGCCCATCGCTCAGAACACTACCTATGGCGGTGGGCTGATGGCTGTATAATAGCACGGTGGCAGTGGGCCGATCGCTCAGAAATATACCTATGGCAGTAGGCCGATCGCTCAGAACACTGCCTATGGAGGTCGGCCCACCGCTCAGAACACTACCTATGGTGGTGGGCCGATGGCTGTATAATAGCCCCAGTGGCGGTGGGCCGATCGCTCAGAACACTACCTATGGTGGTCGGCCGATCGCTCAGAAATATACCTATGGCGGTGGGCCCATCGCTCAGAACACTACCTATGGAGGTCGGCCCATCGCTCAGAACACTACCTATGGCGGTGGGCCCATCGCTCAGAACACTACCTATGGAGGTCGGCCCATCGCTCAGAACACTACCTATGGCGGTGGGCTGATGGCTGTATAATAGCCCCGTGGCAGTGGGCCGATCGCTCAAAAATACACCTATGGCGGTGGGCCCATTGCTCAGAACTATCACCGTGGCGGTGGGCCCATGCCTGTATAATAGTAGCATCATGGTGGTGGGCCGATCGCTCAGAAATACTCCTATGGCGGTGGGCCCATCGCTCCAGCATTCCCTTCATCGCCATGAGCCGATCGCTGACAGCTCCTTACACAGACCGATGGGCCAACGTCCGCTGGCTGTCCAGTTCATGACAATGTTAGGGTAAATGGGAGTCCAGTTCACAAACATGACTGAATGGGCTGGATGGCACACCAAATCAAATGGGCACCATTACTCATTGTACCTGGAAGATGATGAAAATCGGAGGAAGGAAGACACTTACTCGCTTCCTCTTGACCGGCATTGGCAAAGAAAACATACTTCTCGGCATGCCGTGGCTTAAACGCCTCAATCCGATGATCAACTGGGAAACCGGTGACTTTTGGTTTGGTAAAGACGCCAAATGGCCACCGAAACCCACCGTCGAAGATGCACCAGATGAAGAAGTTTCGATTTTCAAGGAAGATGGACTCCCAGAGTTAATCACCACTGAAACTTCCCCTACCTCATTTGGGCATTCGGAATCTATCAAAGAAATCATGGCCGATAACACTGAGCGTGGCGAGTTACCCGCAGTGCGGAATGATACCGAACCAGTTGACCCACTATCAGAACCCGCTATGGATCAGCTCGATGACGACGATCTAGTTATATCCTATATCGCAGGAGAGCCAGTTATTGGGATATTTGAACCCATCAGGAAGGAGTCATCTTTGACAAATGAAGAGACTGAAACCGCAGTCTTCACCATACGAAGAGGCCCCGCCATTGGAAGAATGACACACAGTACTCGATCCCCATTATTCTGTAATGCACAGAATACGGTCTTTTACATACCATCTGGTAAATCACAAGAATTGGCACAACAGGCACACAAGGAAGCATCAGCTGTAGACAAACCCAAAACCGTCGAGGAGTTGGTCCCCAACTACCTCCACGATTTGAAGTCCGTCTTTGAAAAGAAAGCAGCTGAACGCTTTCCAGAAACCAGACCTTGGGACCATGCCATTGACTTGAAACCCGATTTTATTCCACGCGACTGTAAAGTCTATCCGTTATCGCTCAAAGAACAAGGAGCGATGGATGACTTCCTGGAAGAAAATCTGCGAAAAGGATACATCCGACCGTCGAAATCTCCCATGGCTTCACCATTTTTCTTCATAGGAAAGAAAGACGGAGCACTACGTCCCTGTCAGGACTACCGATACCTGAATGAAGGGACGGTGAAGAACGCCTATCCTCTTCCGCTCATCTCTGACCTTATGGATCAATTCAAAGGCACATCGATCTTTACGAAAATGGATTTACGCTCCGGATATAACAATGTCAGAATCAAAGATGGTGACCAATGGAAGGGCACATTTAAGACAAATCGCAGACTTTTTGAACCTATGGTCATGTTCTTTGGACTCTGCAACTCTCCGGCGACTTTCCAAATGATGATGAACGCACTCTTCAAGGACATGGTCGATGAGGGATGGATAGTCATTTACATGGATGATATCCTCATCTTCTCAAACGATTTGGAAGAACATCACGTTCGAACCCGACGTGTACTCCAACGACTCAAAGATAACGACTTATTCCTTAAACCGGAAAAGTGTTTCTTTGATGTTAAAGAAGTCGAATTCCTAGGCATGATCATTCGAGAAAACTACATTGGCATGGACCCTATCAAACTTAAAGGAATTGCAGAATGGCCTGAACCAAGCACGGTAAAAGGTGTTCGCTCTTTCCTAGGGTTTGGAAACTTCTATCGGAAGTTTATTGCCAACTTCTCGGATATTGCCAAACCATTGACAAATCTTACACGCACTGCCGCTGGATCTCCACCTTTTGAATGGACAACAGAATGTCAGACAGCTTTCGACACATTGAAACAACGATTCAGTACCGCCCCAGTATTGTTACTGCCTGACAAGGCAAAACCCTTTATTGTTGAATCCGACGCTTCCAAGTTTGCTACGGGTGCAGTTTTACGCCAAGCCGACATCAATGGAGACCTCCATCCTTGTGCCTACATTTCACAGACGCTCAATCCAGCTGAACGGAACTACGAAATCTACGACCGCGAACTCCTCGGAATCATTCGAGCCCTCACTGAATGGCGCCATTATCTTGAAGGCTCTCCCCATCCCGTCGAAGTCCGCAGTGATCACAAGAACCTCACGTACTTCCGTACAGCTCAGAAGTTAAACCGCCGACAAGCACGATGGAGTCTCAAATTATCACAATTTGATCTTCACCTCATCCATGTCCCTGGCACTCAGATGATCCAATCTGATGTGCTATCTCGTCGTAATGGACTCGATGACAGTGAAAGTGACAATGAAGATTGCATTCTTTTACCCAACGCACTATTCGTGCGATCTATTTCCCTGACACTATTCGACGAAATCAGGAATCACGCAGCAAAAGACCTCATTGTTCACGAAGCCCTTGAAGCGATTGCGCACAAAGGGCCATTCCCCATGAAATCATCACTTTCCGACTGGGAAGTTCGCGATGGTGTCATCCTCTACAAGGGAAAGATCTACGTTCCACCATCCGAAACTCTTCATCGTGACCTCGTTCGACTACATCACGACTCCCCTGCCATGGGTCACCCTGGAAAGTTTAATACTCTTGAACTGTTATGTCGTGAATTCTGGTGGCCCGGCATGTATACATTTGTCTACAATTATGTTAAAGGCTGTGCCGCCTGTCAACAAATGAAACCGAATACTCATCCAACTCGTATTCCTTTGGAACCAATTCCCGCCGACCCACACGCATTACCATTTTCCTGTTGCACCACCGATTTTATTACCGACCTCCCCGTTTCCAACAGTTTTGATTCAATTATGGTCGTAGTAGACCATGACCTTACGAAGGGGGTGATTCTTATGCCCTGCCTCAAAATGATCACAGCCGAAGGAACGGCCAAGATTTTTCATGACAAAGTATACTCGCGATTTGGATTACCCGACCGAATCATCTCGGATAGAGGACCTCAATACGCATCCAAGGTCTTCCAAGAGTTAAATCGACTACTCCAGATCAGATCATCAATGAGCACGGCTTATCACCCTCAGACAGACGGAGAAACAGAGCGAGTCAACCAGGAGCTGGAAATCTATCTTCGACTCTATTGCGGAAACAACCCTGAAACATGGGCCGACTGCCTGCCAGACCTCAAGTTTTGTCATAACACAAGGGAACACTCGGCACAGAAGATGAGCCCATTCCGCATCATGATGGGATATGAACCACGTGGACTTCCTTCCGTATTTCCGACCACGAACATTCCATCGGTTGAATCCAGGCTTGACATGTTGCAGAAGATAAGACTAGAAGCGCTAGCCATGCACGAGTTAGCCCGACAACAGATGGCGAACCGAGTCAGACAAGGATCACTGAAGTTTACACTAGGACAGAAGGTCTGGCTAGACTCGAGGAACCTGAAGGTCAATTACGCCTCGCGCAAGATAGCACCAAAGCGTGAGGGGCCATTCGAAATTGTCGAAGTCATCGGATCAGCCAACTATCGTCTCAAACTCCCGAAGACCTGGCGAGTTCATTCCGTATTCCACGCCGCCCTTCTATCTCCTTATTGTGAAAACGACATACATGGTCCAAATTACGTGAACCCACCACCTGATGTCGTTGATAACGAAGAAGAGTACGAAGTCAAAGCCATCCTGAATCACAAGATGTACCGAGGTCATCTGAGGTACTTAGTCAAGTGGAAGGGATATTCTTCAGCAGAAAACTCGTGGGAACCTACCCACAATTTACAGAATGCCAAGCGAATCCTCGATGCATATAAAAAGACCAGGGGAATCCAGTAGAGGAGAAGAAACCCGGAATGACTACCACGATGGTTTTCCTCATCATCTTCCTAATCGTCCTCCACTGTACAACCCTCACTTTTCTTTGGATCATCCACCGAATCCTTATCAGACGACTTGTCGAACACACACTCTTCACATGAGACAGCCCGCACGCTAACGGCTGGGGTGATCAGAACGATGCCTGGAACTGATCAGGCAGCTCTTATCTCTGTGGGAATACTCTTTATTGTCCAATGGATTTCCATCTATTTGATTATTACCCGGATCCACGACATTCTATTTCACATCACAGATAACTGTGATCCCCTTAACGACCGAAAGGTATAAAGGGAGGAGAAAATGACATATCATCAATGCCCACTTCCGCTATAGACGACCTTGTTCACAATATACTCGCTGAAGTCGCCTCCACAATTATGAGCATACCCGCATCGCCTACGCTTGTCAATGGAGTACCCTCTCGAGCACAGACACCCTTTATCCGCACCGCATCGCCCTCACCTTCTATCGAACTCAGTCACACCTCGGACGAACAAGAATTTGCCACACATCTGGTCTCGGCTATCCGTGTTCCTGTCGACTTCACAGATATCCTTGTCGCCTTACGAAATCGCCCGCAAGATCGACAAGCAGTGGTTTCCATGCAACGAGCATTAGAAATGGTCGAGTGGATGCAGACGGCCAGACAAGAGCTCATTGCAGCAGAAGAAAGGACGAGTAGAGCCCGAACCAGAGTCGACCAAGTCTGATCGTTGATGCGCAGTGCGGTCACTCGTACAGTACAGGAGATTTGGAAGGAGCATGGGGACGAAGACATCGGACACATCCTTGGATACACCACTAATGGAATACCCGCATCCACTCCTCGCTCATCGCCAGAACCAATTCTCATTCGACCTCGCCCTCCTCGTTCGCACGTACCCAGTGGATGATCTCCGTTATCCCAACCATCTTTCTCGACCACATCCACTTCTTCACATCGCAGTCATCCCTACAGGAATGGATGTATCCCCGAACAAGGATCACGAATCAGCCGGAGGACATGCTACAGATGTGGAGGAGATCATTATGTCCGCGACTGCCCCCGACGACGATGAAGATCACAATATTTCTTGTGGGACAAGAAACGTTAGATGGGAGCTGATGTTACAACGCTCCTCACTTGTGGCACGTCTTTTCTTTTTCTTTTTCTTTTTCTTGTTCCCTTTACGTTACCAGACCATGTGATCCAACACGTGACTCATCGGAGTGCAACCTCCGATTCTTTATTCAGATGTCCAGGACCCCTAGTCTAGGGTTACACCGGATCCAACTCCGGACCTTCTTCTTATCGCACATGCAAGACATGCATGTATGCCTCATCTTTACCTCGTTCTGATACACGACTCGTTATCCCCATTAGTACTGATTGTCTCTCACGACCTTACTCAGCTTTCTCATACATATTACTTCCTCACTGTTACCCTGCTCAGATATCGTTTCACCTTATCTAGCCAATGAACGATCCCGCATTACTGCATAGTACTGCGGATACCTTTTGTATAAGTAGACGACCTTGTCGAGCTGGATCCCCATCTCGACCTGGTTACCATTAAACCAGCTTTTCACTTGCCTTTGACTAAGATCGACTGTTGGTAGCAGACAGCTACTGCGAGTCATAAGAACGAATTCTGATTGACCTTCAGTGCGAGGACATCGCCAGAAGTGTCTCTTGAATGGACTTGTGTCTTAGACTAAGACCTTGTCTCGTGACGACTCGACTTGACGCTCGTGTTTCGCTGCCGTGTAACAAGGACAATATAATCGACGTTGCGCTGAGGGATGCTCACATACATACATAGGTGCATTTGCAGCATTTGCGCCAAAGGCCTTTCATCGAGCAGCAGTATGCCTGCAAGAGCTCTACAATTACAAACCCTCTCTATGCTGAAACTTCCTGAATAGTATCTACCCCACTGCCACCTTCAATTTTGGCCCTAACGCCGTGTGTTTTGACCACACTGACGAGAAGAATAGCCCAGCTACATGGTGCGCTATCACTGTGCTTGGAAGATTTGACCCTAAACACGGCGGTCACCTGGTGTTATTCGACCTCAAGTTGATCATTGAGTTTCCGCCTGGCTCGATAATCCTAATTCCATCAGCTTTGTTGCGGCACGGAAACCTCGTGATCCGCAAGGGGGAGACTCACCAGTCGTTCATGCAGTATTGTCCTGGTAGTTTGATCAGATGGGTGGAGTATGGCTTTCGAACTGAGGGGCAGTTTGCCTCTGAAGATCCAGCCGGCAAATGCGCGTTTGATGATGCAGTCGATATGAGGACTAGCGATTCTCTTGGCCTTTACTCCATGTATGAGAAACTGCAGGAGGATCATGAAGACATGGGCCATTAATGTCGTGCATAGGTAGTGCGGTTGTACACATATACTATAGTTGCCTAATTTAGATAAATAGATCTAGTGATCCACGATGCGAGCGCTCAGCCACGTAGTTAGAGCTGTGTGCTTTAGGTGAGGACAGAATACTCTCAACTATAATAAACAGTGCGTCTGTTACTTCCATTTGTTTTTTCTTCAGTCTAAAATGGCCAAAACTTCCAAGCCTCCCAGACTATACGTGCATAACCGCCAAGCGACCTCCTGCAATATCTCCATCTCTGGGGATGGGAGATGCCTCGTATCTCAACCTAGAGACCTGCAAGTTCGATGGCCTTCATCTGCATTGCTCGACGACTCTATGGACATCGATATTGCACCACAAGAAATTGCGGAACCGCAAGAATCTCAAACTGATGACTCACAGCTGGAACCTCAGGCAGGGCTGGAGGGGATTCATGTGGTGACACTGGGCAGAACGAAACGCTACGAGAATTCAGTGAGTGCAGGTAGCTTTTTATACCATGATCATTGTTCTTACTTGATTTACTAGGATGACCCGATGAGAACATGGATCCGGCATAGAGATGACTACCTGGCTGAGGTCTTACATCTTGAAGGCCGAGGGCCCTCTCATTCCAACATTTGCATGCTCTGTGATGCGGAAGCAGACTTCTTTTTTTGCTGCAGAGATTGCTGTGCCAGCGACGTCCTCTGCCAGCAGTGTATTGTTAGCCGCCATCTGCGTTCTCCATTGCACGCCGTCGAGGTATGTTACAATGTTTCAACTTGGATCTTCCAATATCTGAAAATGTAATAGTTTTGGACAGGGACGTACTTCAAGAGGAATAACCTGCATGAGCTTGGACTTGTCGTGCAGCTCGGCCATAGGCCGAGCATCCTCTGTAGTCTGCATGATGAACCACATTCCATCACTGTCCTGCATACAAACAGAGTTCATACCATGAAGGTCACATTCTGTGCATGCTCGGGCGTGCCAGAGCACAAGCAGTTTCTACAGTTTGGGTGGTGGCCTGCGACACCTCTGGAGCTGCAGTCCTGCACCACCATGCACCTCCTCCATCTTTTCCACACTCTCAACCTTCAAGGGAAGGTTACGGCATACGATTTCTACAAGTCATTGGAGCTGATGATGGATAACATGGGTCTCCTGAAACTTCCGGTAAGTGGCGAGTCGCATATCTGTGGATTTTTCTCACCACATTTGTCGTATTAGGATCGCCTTCCTGCCTTCATGCTCATGGTGAGGCAGTGGCACCACATCAAAATGGCTAAGTGTGTGGGCCATAGCTATGACAGCGGAAGTATCAGCTCCACCAACCCTGGGGGTTTGGCCGTCCAGTGTCGAGCCTGCCCGCATCCTGGCATCAATTTACCTGATGGATGGGAGGATTCTTCTAGTGCAGATAGGTGTGTTTCTTCTATATATTTGTCATTCGTGTGCTCATGATCTTAATAGATGGCTATATACACTCTTCGTCTCACACGATGCCAATTTTTGCCTCTCAAATCATGTGCATGCTCGTGACCAGCGAGACCTCTGGCTTGCACCCAGCATGGCGTACTTCGTCCACAACGAGCAATATGCAGATTTCATCAAGAATTTCGTCAATCAAGAGGAGATCTGCACCTGTGTTGGGTTCGCCGTGCTGATGAATGCTCTGAATCGAAAGGCGAAGGGCTTGTGATCTACTGGAGTGGGCGGTGTGAGCTGCTCGCGGCATGAGCTTTTTCGACCGATGGAATTAGGTGACTTGCAAAAGGGCGAACGGTATGGATGCACCATTATGATTTTTTTTTTGTTGGCTCACAATCATACAGGTATTGCAACATGGACTATATATTCATCTCCAGTGTTAAGTCCGTCGAGGTCAAGAGGCTTATCGTGTCATATGACATAGCCTGCCAATGGTACCAGAATTTTTGGCAGCGACACGAGCAAATTCCCGCCAGCCTTTAAATGACACTGTCTGCATTTGTTCCGAAGTTCCATCTCCCAGCTCATCAAGAGGAATGCCATGCGCCATACTCTTTCAACTTTGCAAAGTGGTGTGAGCAGACAGACAGCGAGGGCGTTGAGCGCAACTGGGCTGCACTGAATCCTGTAGCTCCCAGCATGAAGGAGATGGGTCCGGGCCACAGATGGGAGATGATTGACGACATCTGCGGCTTCCGTAACTGGAGGAAGACGGTCGAAGTCGGTGAGTTTCATTTCTGTTCCTACTCTGTTTTAAAGCCTTCAGCTGATGAATGCATTCCTATAGGCAATGCGTTGCTGCGTCGGATGCTGGAGGCTATCCCTGAGGCTGTCGTGCACTACGAGGATTTTGCAAAGTTCACAAGTGGATTGCGAGTGCAGCGTCCTGCTGATGTCGTGGCATGGGGGGTCATGGTTGAGGAATGGGAGGCAGACATATCGAAGCCTAACCCATACGCGTTGCCCAAGAGCAGTAAGTATTTCCCTTTTTTTGTTTCAATTCTTGTGTTGACGTTGCTTCTAGAGATCACGCTCGCCGACGTTCATTTGAAATTGGCCAAAGAAGAGCAGGCTAGGATCCAGGAAGGCCGAGACATGCAATCGCCGGACGTTAGTCCGAGCTCATTTTTGCTGTTAGGTATGGAGCTCGAGAAGCAGCAGTAAGTACATCATACAATATATCACTGTCCAGTACTGAAAAAATGTTTGTGCTGCAGATGCAGCCTTCGTCGCCTCGTGCATGGTGAACTGACCACACATCAGGATGCTACGCTGCAAGAGCAGCGTGCAGCTCTTCTCAAGAAGATCTTACGGTTTCAAGAGGTTCGTCTGGCCTATATGCCGTCCCTCCCTACCTTCCGCGATGCAGACTCAGTCCACGCTGTGTCCCTGGCTTGGGAGAGATGGAAGACGAGCTTCGATATGCCGAGGCAACGGAGGCTCTGAATGATGTCTGCTGCCAACTGCATACACGTACTGTGTACAGTCACTCGAAGACGAAGAATGTCAAAGGACAGCGGCCGAACACCCGGGCTCGTGCAGCTCAATCCAGCATGGATGCGCGCGTACGAGCAGCCACGTTGCGGTATCGCCACGCGCGTTCCACATTGCTCTCTCTGCACAGGCATGGTCCTTGGGAGGATACTTTACAGGAGCTCAATGACGCAGATGTGCGGGGTCTGGGGGAGCATGCTTTGATGAATGAAGAGAGGGCAGAGCAAGAACAGATACGCGAACTTAGCGGCTCCTCATTGAACAGCTTCAGCATCGGGCACACGGGGGTGGTCGCAGTTGGAGAGGGCCGCCGCATGCTTTCTTGGCTGTGGTATGATGTGGCGAATGAAGGCGGAGAGGCCGGGTTGGCTGACTGTGAGTATTGTCCACTGTGGCCATCTACATACTCGAACTAATTTTGTGAATACAGCTTTGAGAGTGGAATGGGTAAAGGTGAGGGCTCGTGCAGCAAGATGGCATAAGGAGGTCCATTTACTCAATGAGGAGATGCGCCGTGTCATGGAGTATAGCCGCTGGCAGGCTGCCATCTGGAACGGAAGATGCGATCATCTCAACAGTGGGATGGATGCGAGTCTCATCGAAGGTCTTCAGGCATATGCAGCTGAGCATGCTGCAATGGAAAGGGAGCTTGCGGCATCTTTCGAGGCAAAGTGGTCGGTCGTCAGGCAGCATGCACAAGTCATCCTCCAGCAACTCGACACTGCACTTCGGGAACTCAATACCAACCTTGGTGCAGGGCGTCCTGATGGGGAGGAAACCCTTGAGTTGGCTGTGGAATCTGCCTTCGATGCAGTTGAAGTAGACATCGATCTCGGACTGGATAAAGATCTCGAGAATGATGTCGACCCCGTCTAACCCCGACATCTCACTTCTGCTGCGTTCAATTCTCCTGTCCTCACACGGATTTTCGATGGCACGTATGCATCTCATATTTGCTCAGTTTCTGTCCTGCACCTTTTGTTCATCCCCTCTCTCCTGCGCTGTTTTTCTCCCATGTATTATTTATCTACCTGTCATCTTCAATGCCATACGACTTGTCCTCCCTCGCAGAAGGGATGCAGAGTGTGGATTTCCCTGCCCCGTATTTGAGCTGCCAGCTGCCAGGTATTTTTTGTATGTTTTGCCAGCATAGCAAATTCCGGTATGTTTTTTCTTTTTTGGTATATTCCGTATGTTTTGCCAGCATGGCAAATTCCGGTATGTTTTTTCTTTTTTGGTATTTTTCGTATGTTTTAAGCATCCCAAATAGGGATTTTGCATTTTATTCCGGAGGGCAAAGTACCCACATGTTTTTTTGGCACACATCATAATGTCCGCAGAGAATTAGCGGGAGATTATAATGCAACCCGGTGTGGGCTGCACTGGTCACATTGTATTGAGCTTGACAGTGATTACTGTAAGGTATTATATTTTTAGTACAAGGACACCTGCATGCAGAAACTTTCCCTCAACGCTGCAGAGTGCAGAGATTCATGAATGGACTGCCACTTTTTCTCTTCTCCATCTCGCCACCGCACTTGTAGTATTCTCAAGCTCGGACTCAACTGACTGAATGTTCGTGTGTTTATGACTGGTACGCTGTTCAAGGACTTTGTTGCGATTGATGTTCCCTGTATGTTATCTGATGAGGACTTTGGCTTGGAGACCACAAACGAGTCGCCGCTCACTCGTGTGTCACAACGTGTATGGCATGGACTATTTCCGATGTTTTGGACTATGTGTTGTTACTTGGACTTACGTATGTGGACGCTGTGTGTGAACTTGTACCGTGTTTTTGTGCTTGGACATTATCTCTGCACGCTGACACCTGGAGATCATGGAATCGAGTTATGCTTTTCACGGAGTCTTACGGATGTGATGAGGAAAAATCGAAATGAACAGATAAAAATAGCAGAAAAAGACAAACAGAAAAACATGCAGAAAAAGATACAGAAAATTATGAAAGACGCTGCGCCCTCACCAGTGTACTATCTACATATCGTGGAAGAAGAAGCAGAAGAAGAAAACCCAGTACCAGAGCCACTGTACTATTCCATGGAACCTGAAGATGATGAAGATTACTTGTTCGCGGGAATAGAGAAAGAAGTATATGGAGCCTACAAATGCGTGGACCGAAAAGTCAAGCCAGTCCCCGGTGTATTTCCAGAAGGTGCCCGTGTGCATTGTGCCTTCCCTGAAGACCCGCTTGCATCACTCCCGCTGCTTACACCGCACCTGCCAGACTTTACACCTGGAATGCAACTCACACAGGAACAAATGGAGGAGATGAACATAAAACCAGATGGATTTCTACGCCCGGAAGAAGAAAAGCTATTCAAGCATATCCTGCGACTCAATGAAGCAGCTTTGGCTTTTGAAGACACAGATCGAGGAATGTTTAGGGAGGATTATTTCTCTCCCTACATCATTCCAATAGTGTTGCACAAACTTTGGGAATTTTCGAATATTCCTATCCCCCCTGGAATCAAGGAGAAAGTTATCAAGCTTCTTAAAGAAAAGATGGCTGCCAGAGTATATGAAGCCAGCCAGTCCTTGTATCGCTCATGATGGTTTTGCTTGATGAAGAAAACTGGAAAACTATGGATTGTCCACGACCTACAGCCGTTAAACAAAGTCACCATCCGAGATGCAGGACTCCCGCCCTCACTGGATGACTTCGTGGAACCATTCGCAGGAAGAAAAGTTTACACCATCGGAGACCTTCATTGGGGATTTGATGCATGCAAAGTGGACACGAGCAGCCGAGACCTGACATCATTCCATACTCCTTTGGGACTGCTACGAATCACATCACTTCCCACTGGCTTCACGAACTCACCTGCCGAATTTCAAAATTGCATGACCTTCATATTGCAAGATGAAATCCCGACCAAAGCAGATATCTTTATTGATGACCTGCTGATCAAAGGAACTGACACCGAGTACCCTGACGCAGATGGGGAGCCAGAAGTATTAATGGAAAATCCCGGAATCAGACGTTTTATATGGGAACATGCATTGGATGTGCACCGAATTTTGCATCGAATTGAACATGATGGAGCCACGTTCTCAGGAAAGAAGTTCCAATTGGCCTGCCAGCGAGTTCTTATTGTTGGACAAACATGCACCCTGGAAGGATGCCTGCCTGATGACCAGAAAATAGAGAAAATCCTTAAATGGCCAGTTTTGAAGACAGTACGCAATGTGCGCGCATTTCTAGAACTATGTGGAACTGTACGCATTTGGATTCATCAGTACTTGTTAATCGCCCAACCACTCACCGAATTGACTCGTCAAACTGTCAACTTCGAATGGACTGACCGGCGACAAGATGCATTTGATGAGCTTAAAACTGCTATCACTTCTGCACCGGCACTTCACCCAGTTAACTATCAGGTGGACAATCCTGTGGTACTATCTGTGGACTCAAGCAAGTACGCGGTTGGATTTATATTGGGACAATATAATGATGAAGGCTGAAAGCGTCCGGCGCACTATGGATCGATCCCCATAAATGAATGAGAGTCAAGATATTCACAACCGAAATTGGAGCTTTATGGACTGTACTGAGTGCTGTGTGCCTATCAGTTATACTTGATTGGAGTATGGAACTTGCAAGTGGAAGTGGACGCAAAATACATCAAGGGAATGCTGAACGAACCGGACTTGCAACCCAATGCAACTATCAATTGATGGATACAAGGAGTCCTGTTGTTTCACTTTACACTCATCCATGTGCCCGCCGACAAACACAAAGGACCTGATGCTCTATCACGATGAGAATTGGCATCTGACGAAGAAGCAAGTGAACATGATGATTCCTGGTTGGACGACATCGCATTATACACGGAAATCAGAGCCCGAAGTTGAAGCTATGGATCAGCGCTGGTTGGATACATGAAAGGAACCCACAGAGATGCAGTCAAGGGATACACTGTTACTCGAAGTGATCAAGACGAGGCCCTCAGTGATTACAAGCATTTTCTGCAGACCCTTGAAACACCATCCTTCCTGAACACTCAAGAAAAGCGACAATTTATCCAGAAAGCTTTACGGTTTCTTATGCGCAATGGAAAACTATATCGAAGGAATGGACAAAAACCCCCATTACAAGTCATCCTCTCCACAAAATCCTGACAATCTATTTTGTTTCAAGCACACGAAGGACTTGGACACCGAGGAGAATATGCTGTTAGGCAAACCCTGAAAGAGCATTTCTACTGGCCAGGAATGTGGAACGATGTGCAGCAGCATGTCCGATCATGTTACCAGTGTCAAATCCGAAGTGTACACAAAGTGGAAGTGCCCATCCTGATATCAGCCCCATCCACAATATTCACCAAGGTTTATGTGGACGTTATGTTCATGCCAACTGCCAAAGGGCATCGCTATCATTGCAGCACGAGATGATCTTTCTCAAGCAGCTGAAGGACGAGCGCTATGCAAAGCCAATGCTAAAGCTGTGGCACGATTCATTTGGGAAGAAGTATTTTGCCGATACTGAGCAGTTGGACAAGTAACAACCGACAATGAGAATAAAGTCAAAGGAGCGTTCTCGGAGTTAATGCGCCGCTATGGAATTCCTCAAGTGCGAATATCAGCCTACAATTCAAAGGCAAACGGAGTAGTCAAACGTGGACACTTCACGATATGCGAATCAATTATCAAGATGTGTAACGGACAAGTCAACCATTGGCCCGATCTTGTACATCATGCATTCTTCACAGACCGCATCACCGTCATCCGCTCAACTGGTTTCTCCCTGTATTATTTGCTGTATGGAGTCCACCTCATGCTTCCTTTTGACCTTACCAAAGCAACGTTCATGATGGAAGGATATCATTCAGGAATGACAACCAGTGACCTGCTTGCAATGCGCATTCGCCAACTACAGAAGAGACCTGAAGACTTAGCCCATGCCGCGGACACACTATGTTATCATCGCCTCCAATCCAAAGAAGCATTCGAGACACATTTCAAGTGCCGCCTTACCAAGGACATATATATGAAGGGAGAGTTGGTTCTCGTACACAACAACACAGTTGAAAAGGAGATGGATCGCAAACACCAAGACCGATATTTGGGCCCCTACGAGGTGGTATGCTGGACGACGAATGGAGCATATGTTCTAAAGGATCTCGATGGAACACCTTGGAAACAAAGCATTGCTGCATTTCACCTGCTGCTGTATGTGCATCGTGATGACCCATGCCTTATCGAATTAGCTGAAGAAATGGAAAATTATGAAAATGATGGAAGCAGCAGTTCAGATGACCACTCTGACCATTCAAGCATCAGTGTAGAAGATTCTGATGCTTCATCAAGAACCTGAATGGTCCGAGGAGGGCAACTGGGGTCAGTTGCATTTTTTTGTGCCACCCAGATGTCATGCACCAAAAGTGTTTAGCTTGTGAACACGTAACCACCGGTGAAGCGCTCGACGAGGAAGTCACGTGACTAAGACGGAACCCGAGAATGTTTGGCCGAGCATGTCACCTGATGCTTACATTATGCTATTGGACAGTAAAAACTCGGAAAGTGCTTTCTCCCTACTTCTCCCTGCTCACTTTATGCTATTGGACACGGAGGTCCCAAGAGTTTTGTCTTCCCTATTTCTCCCTGCTCACTTTATGTGATTGGACATGAAGGTCCTAAGACATTTTTCCTTCCTACTTTCCCCTTTGATCACGTGATGCTCTTATTTTGCTATTGGCCAATCTGCCATGTAACACTACTATGTAACGGTCACAATGGGTGACACCCGAGGGGTATAAAAGGACCCCCAAGGTGCCCCGACCCTCAGTCTTCTCTCCCCACCCTATAAGTGAAGAGTTCTCCCTCCGCTTGTAGCTTACCCTACAAGTGATAAACTAAAAGAATAGGAGTTTGTTCCACTCCTCCCAGTAACATTGTTACTCGTGATCAAAAGGATCCCGATGAAGTTAGTTCAGCGCAGGCAGTGAGTTGTTACGAACACAACTACTGCACTCTCGTATTGTTTCTTTTGGGTAGTCTAGCACACGGTTGCTAGATACTCAAACCATTCTCAGAAAGTTCTCAGACAACACGTAGGAAAGTTATCAGCCAGGCACGTCGTATTAGGACACACGCACTCGGTAAAGCCCTGCACACGGTTGTAGGCACTGGATAGGATCACAGAAGACTTGGTAAGCCCTGCACACGGTTGTAGGCACACAGATTAAGAAGACAACGAAGACTCGGAAAGCCCTGCACCGGTTGTAGGCCTCATATAAGAAAACCTGTTAAGCCCTGCACTGGTTGTAGGCATCGTATCAGAAGACAGAAAGCAAGCCCTTGCACACGGTTGCTAGACATCCCCCTCTACACTCCCCCATCTGTATTGTGCAGACTACCATCCCGACTTCAGACAACGAAACACACGTATAGCTCAGGCGTCCCTAACCCACTATCATAAATTTGATATCAATGAACAACTGTGATAGCCTGGCATACTTTCCCTTTTGCCATGCCCGGTGAACCACAGCGAAGTACCACTCACTTGACCAGGAGTCAAAAGCTCCTCCGGCCAAGGCCCGTGCGTACCCCGAGTCGACATCGGGTTAGCCAAATTTGGTCCATTTATACCCACATGGCCGATATAACCTCTAAAAATAGCCAAATTTTACAAAAAAAGTGCAAAAATCACCCAGGACACGCAGAACATGCTACACATTGTTGCTGAACCTATTGACACTATCCTGACTCTTCATGAGCAGCTTCCGTCTCATGTACATCATCATTCCCATCTTCCTCTTCACTCTCCACTTCTGAATCAACCGTTGCGGGGTTCAACTCCTTGCCCCACAATGTTACGCGGCAGCGAAACACGAGCGTCAAGTCGAGTCGTCACGAGACAAGGTCTTAGTCTAAGACACAAGTCCATTCAAGAGACACTTCTGGCGATGTCCTCGCACTGAAGGTCGATCAGAGTTCGTTCTTATGACTCGCAGTAGCTGTCTGCTACCAACAGTCGATCTTAGTCAAAGGCAAGTGAAAAGCTGGTTTAATGGTAACCAGGTCGAGATGGGGATCCAGCTCGACAAGGTCGTCTACTTATACAAAAGGTATCCGCAGTACTATGCAGTAATGCGGGATCGTTCATTGGCTAGATAAGGTGAAACGATATCTGAGCAGGGTAACAGTGAGGAAGTAATATGTATGAGAAAGCTGAGTAAGGTCGTGAGAGACAATCAGTACTAATGGGGATAACGAGTCGTGTATCAGAACGAGGTAAAGATGAGGCATACATGCATGTCTTGCATGTGCGATAAGAAGAAGGTCCGGAGTTGGATCCGGTGTAACCCTAGACTAGGGGTCCTGGACATCTGAATAAAGAATCGGAGGTTGCACTCCGATGAGTCACGTGTTGGATCACATGGTCTGGTAACGTAAAGGGAACAAGAAAAAGAAAAAGAAAAAGAAAAGACGTGCCACAAGTGAGGAGCGTTGTAACATCAGCTCCCATCTAACGTTTCTTGTCCCACAAGAAATATTGTGATCTTCATCGTCGTCGGGGGCAGTCGCGGACATAATGATCTCCTCCACAT